TCCCCCCAACTTCAGATGCCAGTCATAAACCCCAGGTGGTTCTACCTGTGTTTCTGACTGTCCCACAACCCCTTCCTAAGGTTCAATTAATTTGCTTGAATGGCTCACAAAACCATCAGGGAAACAATTAATGTTCACTCATTTATTATAAAGGATACAGATGAAGAGATGGATAGACAAGGCATGAGAGAAAGGGCAGGGAGCTTATAAGGCCTTTCTGGGCATGTCAACGTAACAAGAACCTCCTCATATTCAGCTAGCTGGAAGTTTGCCAAACCCTGTGCTTTGGGATTTTTATGGAAGCTTCACTGTATAGGCATGATTTCCAGTAGACTGGATAGGAAAACCCAGCAGGGACCATCTGTTTAGAAACTTCAGCATTCCTTGCTTGTGGGTAAGGAGCTTAACCCCTCTAGTAAGAAACAGGTCTTGGGGCCAGTGCTGTGGTATGGTAGGTTAATCCTCTGCCTGCAGTGCCAGCGTCCTATATGGGGCCAGTTTTGTTTTTTCTTTTAAATATTTATTTATTTATTTGAAAGTCAAGAGTTACACAGTTACACACAGAGAAGAGAGAGAGACAGAGGTCTTCCATCCGATGGTTCACTCCCCAATTGGCCGCAATGGCCGGAGCTGCGCAGATCCGAAGCCAGGAGCCAGGAGCTTCTTCCCGGTCTTTCACGCAGGTGCAGGGGTCCAAGGACTTGGGCCATCTTCTACTGCTTTCCCAGGCCATAGCAGAGAGCTGGATTGGAAGTAGAGCAGCTGAGTCTTGAACCAGTACCCATATGGGATGCCGGTGCTGCAGGCCAGGGCATTAACCCACTGAGCCACAGCGCTGGCCCCATGGGCTCCAGTTCTAATACTGGCTGCTCTTCTTCCGATCCAGCTCTCTGCTCTGGTCTGGGAAAGCAGAAGATGGCCCAAGCATTTGGGACTTTGCACCTGCATGGAAGAACCAGAAGAAACTCCTGGATCCTGGCTTTGGATTGGTCCAGCTCCAGCTGTTGTGGCCATTTGGGGAGTGAACCAGCACTCTTTCTTTCCCTCTCAAATAAATACATAAAAAATATTTAAGGGAAAAAAAAAAAGAAACAGATCTTATGACCTATTATCTGAATTTCTAGGGGCCTGACCAGGGGAGGAAGCACCAGGAAATGTGGATTAAATCTAAAACATTATTTATAGATATACATATACAAACATAAATGATATATATATATGATATACATCATAGAAATGGGTTGTAATCCTAAACTAGTAGGAAATTTTCATCATACATATATCCAATGAAGAACTCATCTCTATAATTTCTATAACTCAATAACAAAAAGATGAACTATCTAATTTCAAACTGAGCAAGATACTTGAATAAACACAAAAGATATATAAACTGTCAGCACACAGAAAAGTACACAAAAAGCATATAAAATTATCAGTTTTCAAGGAAATATAAATCTTCCTAAATGACAAATCATTTTATTTACACTGTGTCAAAGACAAGATAGAGTAGCCACACTATCATGTGCCCAATCTTCACAATGTGCTTCCATTTAAAATCTACTAAAATTAAAACTGACAATATCAAATGTCTGTGAGGATATGAACCAGCTGCAATTTTCCTAATTTGATCATGGGAATACAAAATGAAGCAACCACTTTGGGAGAGTGTTTGGCAGTTTCTCATAACATTAACCACATATATGTTTACTTTAACCTAGCCATTCCACCAAGTATTAACCAAAGGTAAAGGGGGACACATGTCCATAAAGAACTTTACTCAGAATAGTCCAAAAGTAAAAAACCAAATGTCCATCCATCAGGAGGAAAAGTGTTATATATACATATACATACATACACACACACACACACACACACACACACACACACGGGGGATGACACAGCCATAAAAGATGAGCAAATGATAAATGTAACACAGAGGCTAAATCTCAAGACATTGTGTTCATGAAGTATGAGAAGCTGTCTTAATACATTTTGTGTTGCTATAACAAAATACCTGAGGCAGCGTACTTTTTATGAGATTCATTGGTCTCAGGACTCTGGTGGCTAGGTCAAACCAGCACAGTGTTTGCATCACAATGCAGTACAGAAGCAGGGAACCAGTGCGTAGAAGGGGCTGAGCTTGTGGGGTGGCCTTGCATTGTAGCAACCATGGCTAGTGGAAACCAACACAATCCTGATGTATGTTAATCCATTTATGGGGGAAGGAATGGGAGAGATCTTTCACATGTTCCCCAAATGCCCACAACAGGGTTACAGGGTTGGGCCAAGCAGAAGCCAAGATCCAGGGACTCCATCCAGGGCTCTGGAAATGGCTCAGCCTCTCTGTGGACGGGACAGGCTAGCAGGGCAGAATGGAGCCTCTGCACCCTGTGACTTTGGGAGCCCCGAGTGCTGAGACACCGGAATTCTGTGATTTCAAGAGAGCACCGAGGGTATAACTGCTTCTCTGGGCAGTAACTGTGTGCTCAGAGCTCCCTGATTGCCTGGGTGGGTCACCGCAGCAAGATCTGGGCTCACACTGAGGACTGCAAAGATCCTTTGTGCAGCTGGCTGTGGGTGCTCTCTTTGGCATTTTGAGCCCAGAGCCCCAAAGCCTGTGCCATTTTGAGAGGCTGGGGGTACCTCACAGTCCTATGTGGGTACCCAGTCCCCTGTCAGTCCTCTAGCCAGACTCAAAGTCAGTGGGGAGAGCCAATTTTTCCTCTGGTAAAATCCCTGAATCACACATGTGCACTATACCTGCTGGCTGGGAGAGATCTTTCACATGCTCCCCAAATGCCCACAACAGACAGGATTAAAGGGTTGGCCCAAGCAGAAGCAAGAGCCAGGCATTCCACCCAGGGCTCCCATGTGGGTGGCAAGAACCCAAGTACTACAGCCATCGTCTGCTGCCTCTGAAGATACACAGGAGAAGGAAGCTGGATCAAAAGTGGAGGTGGAACTTGATCTTGGCACTTTTACATGGGATGTTAGCATCCCAAGTTGCAGTTTCACTCCTAAGTCACAACACCCACCCCTAGATCCCACCTCTTCAAGTTTCTATCACACTGTCACACTGGACACCAATCCCCAGATAGGACAGTCTCTTCAGCAAATGGTGCTGGGAAAACTGGATCTCCATTCGTAGAAGTATGAAAAAAGACCCTACCTTACACCTTACACATAAACCCACTAAAAATGGATCAATGACCTAAATCTACAACATGATATCATCAAATTACTAGAGAACACTAGGGAAACCCTGCAAGACCCTGGCATGGGAAAAGATTTCTTGGAAAAGCCCCCAGAATCACAGGTAATCAAAGCCAAAATTGACCTACAGGATTACATCAAGTTCAGAAGCTTCTGTACTCCAGAAGAAACACTCAGCAAAGTCAAAAAGGCAGCCAACAGAATGGGAGAAAATATTTGAAAACTTATTTACTGATAAAGGATTAATATCCAGAATCAATAAACAGCTCAGGAAATTCAACAAGAACAAACAATCCATTTAAAGAAATAAGCAAAGAACTTGAACAGGCATTTTTCAAGAGAGGCAACTCAAATGGCCAACAGACACAGAAATGCAAGTCAAAACCAAAATGAGGTTTCACCTCATCCCTGTCAGAATGGTTCTCATAAAGAAATTATTTTTTTTAATTTATTTTATTTGAAAGAGTTACACACAGAGAGGAGAGGCAAAGAGAGAGAGAGAGGAGAGAGAGAATGAATGAGAATGAGAGAGAGAGAGAGAGAGAATCTTCATGTGTTGGTTCACTCCCCAATCGGCCGCAATGGCCGGAGCTGCACCGATCTGAAGCCAGGAGCCAGGAGCTTCTCCCAGGTCTTCCACGTGGGTGCAGGGGCCCAAGGACTTGGGCCATCTTCCACTGCTTTCCCAGGCCATAGCAGAGAGCTGGTCAGGAAGTGCAGCAGCAGGGTCTTGAACCGGTACCCATATGGGATGCTGGCACTGCAGGCAGTGGCTTAAACCACACCACAGCACTGGCTCCTCTCATATAGAAATTAACAAACAACAAATGCTAGTGAGGATATGAGGAAAAAGGTACCCTAATTCACTGTTGGTGGGACTGCAAACCAGTGTAGCCACTGTGAAAGACAATATATATACCTCAGAAACCTGAATACAGACCTACATATGACCCAGCCATCCCACTTCTGGGAATTTACTCAAAAAAGAAATCAGCATATGAAAGAGTGATCTGTACCCCCATGTTTATTGCAGCTCAATTTCACAATAGTTAAGATATGAAATCAGTCCAGATGTCCTCAGCTGAAAACTGGATAAAGAAATTATGCTATACATATACTATGCAATACTACATAGTGGAAAAAAAAAAAAAGAAATTCTGTCATTTGCAACAAAATGAATCAACTGGATACAATTATAATTACTGAAATAAGCCAGTCCCAAAAAGACAAATACAATATGTTCCCCATGAAGTGTGGTAATACAGTACCTAAAACGTAAACTATAGGCATGAAATTGACAATTTGAGATGCCATGATTTTGAAAAGCCCTTGTCTCAACTGTTGAGGAACAATTATTTTTTCCTTCATACTATTTTTTGAACTCTTTATTTAGTGTAGGATTAATAATGAGTATAAAGTTAACTGAAAATAGATCTCTTTAAAAAATAAGAATGGGAATAGGAGATAGAGGAGAAAGAAGGATGGCAGTGTGGGCAGGAAGCAGATTAGGGTAGAAAGAATCACTATGTTACTGAACCTATATATGAAATACATGAAATGTGTACACCTTGAATAAAATTTAAAAAAAAAAAAAAAACAGATTCCCTCCTAAGTAACTTCTCAGAAGTATTTTAGGTAACAAAAAGCTAATACATTTCCAAAAGTTTTCATTAACCCACTATACATTTTCTGATAAAGTTCAACATTGCCTATCATATTATCTTGCCATGACATTTACATAAACACACTGATGCATACATTTGCGAGCCAATACTAAGGTAAAAAGCTTATTTTAAAAATATGTTTATTTGTAGTTAAATACTTTTTCCTTGTCATTCTGAAAACACATTTCTATGTCAGTATTTGAGACAAAAGGGTCATGTGAAAAGTATTCATTTCTTTACTATTTCATTTCAGAATAAGCATAAAATTTCTTTAGAAGACTCAATATTATCTTCCCTTTTCTTATTGTGTTCCCATGGAGCTCAGAAAATGGGAAGAAATGGAGCTGAAGCTTATATTTGAAAGTGAGGGTTACCAAAAATGAGGATCAATGAACAAAAGAGATCCATTCATTCCTAACATAATGTCAATGTCTAAATACTTGGTTCACATGACAAATTCAAGTTCAGATCACTTCCAACAAAGGAATAGCTAGAATTTAAAATGTCATTAACCATAGATGCAAATAAGTAATCTTAGTTTTCTTTTGTTTCATTATTCTGAAATTTAATAAAAAATGAAATTCCTAGTTTAATTTGACATCTACCTAAAATGATAATATTTATGAACACTACAAAACAGGTATGTAATAAAAGATCCAGTAATTATTTTAAAAAGTATTTATATTTAAGTAAATAATACTTCACTAGCAGTTCTGAAAAACTTTTATGATTCAAAGAAACTTAAAAATATTAAATTTGGTGTTGATATAATCATGAAACAACTCCAAATAGAATGAGTACATGTAATACTTTAGGGTGGTTAAAAGACAAGAAAATTACTGAAATTAAAATGTCCAATTAATGTTTTTTTAAGAAAAATCTAGTGATAATGTTACCAGACTATTCAATATATCTCCAGCTAAAATTTATTTTTATAAGTCTATTGTATAAACATATAGTATCTTTATGTACAGAAAATATAACCAAACTGAAATACAAGAGCAGAAATAAAATTGGCATTATAATTATCACTTTTGAAATCATAATTAATAGCAAATTTGTCATAAAGAGAAACAACTCTCCATTTTCAAGGCAGGGAAAATAAAATAAAAGCAAAGCCCTAGAAGAAAAATACACAAAACTTTATCACCCTTCTCTTAATACCCCACTCCTAATCTGTTTTGAATATTTATATTTTATCTATTAAATAGACTTGAAAAATAGTTAGTCTAAGGATAACTTACCATGAATTATAAATTTCTTCAAAGTGAACAGTTTATATTTCTATTCAAAAAATGAAAGTTAGACCCATTAGCTTTATTTATTTATTATAGTATTTCATTTTAACATTAAAAGAAAAAGAAAGCCACACAAAAAGCAATGGAAAAGAACACACCTCCAGTGGAAACTATCAACAGAAAGACCACTGAAAAGTGTGCACGTGTTAATAGTTGCATGGGTGCTGTGCAAAGACAAAAACAAGAGGCAAGAACACCACGTGACAAGGGAAGCAAGGATGGAAGTGTTGCAGCTGCAACCCAAGAAATGCCAAAGACTGCCAAGAAACCACCAGGAGTTCAGAAGACAGGAGGAAGCGTCTTCCCCTATAGGTTTCAGAAACAGAGGCCTGATTACACCTTGAGTTCAGACTTCTACTGTTTGGAACTGAGACGATAAATTTTTGTAGTCTTAAGTTTGTAGTTATTTTGGTATAGCAGCCATAGGAAACTAATACAGAGATACCATTTATCACAATTATTTTTTTCCTTCATACTATTTTTTGAACTCTTTATTTAGTGTAGGGTTAATAATGAGTATAAAGTTAACTGAAAATAGATCTCTTTAAAATATAAGAATGGGAATAGGAGATAGAGGAGATCATTTAATGATCAATGACTTAAAACCAATACTTAGAAAATATTTTGATAAAGGAATAAACATTGAAGTCAGTAGTCACTCGCAATGAAACACCATGTATTTCATTGTGGGAGCAGTGATTTTGGTATTCTTTTCAAATTATCAAAATAACATAAAAATAGGCATCACCACAGGTCATTTGTATATTTATGGAAAAATTGGGAGCTACATGTAGAAGTTTAAAATGTTTACCTAATACAAGTTTACACAAAACTGAATAAAATTTTTATTTTAAAACATCACAAGTAACACAAAGGTAAATGTCCCAACTATACAAACATTTGTTACATGTGTACATAAATCCATATACATATATACATACAGGTATTTAAATTGGCTTCATTTTTCATCTTTTTATCTGAGTAAAAAGAAGAACACTTTCCTCGTTTAGGAGATTTTTGATGTTGTAATAATTACCTAAAAGTAAAAAGAAAATAATTTTCATAGAAATGATTACCTTTGAACTACCTGTTTAGTCATCACCTAACAGTTACAGCACATAACACAAAAACATTTCACCTAACCCAAAAATAATTTTCATTTAATCCCTTTATAAACTCGAAGTTCCACCACATATCCAAATAAGGCTTGAAAGAATGCGAATTTCCCATCCATCTGATAACAAATGCACAGGTAAGTTACTCATGGGTGTAGGAAGGGAAATATCTGTTTCTGAAATCAATATTTATTAGGTCTTTGGAACTTCTGCAGATTCCCTAAGCCAGACACATGCAGATATAGCTATGTACAATGTTACTGTAAATGGTACAATGTTAAATAAACTCCCAAATTTATAAAAGGCAAATGCTACTCTTTTTTTTTTTTGACAGGCAGAGTGGAGAGTGAGAGAGAGAGAGAGAGAGAAAGGTCTTCCTTTGCCGTTGGTTCACCCTCCAATGGCCGCCGCAGCCGGCGCACCCCGCTGATCCGATGGCAGGAGCCAGGTACTTATCCTGGTCTCCCATGGGGTGCAGGGCCCAAGCACTTGGGCCATCCTCCACTGCACTCCCTGGCCACAGCAGAGAGCTGGCCTGGAAGAGGGGCAACCGGGACAGAATCCGGCGCCCCAACCAGGACTAGAACCTGGTGTGCCGGCGCCGCAAGGCGTAGGATTAGTCTAGTGAGCTGTGGCACCGGCCAGGCAAATGCTACTCTTAACAACAAATACAAAAGTACCTGTTTGTACTGACTTGTGTTTGTTGATGCTTTATAAAGCGCATTGTTCTTAATGTACAAAATAACACATTAAAATCAGAATATACAGTATCTTAGAGACAACATGGGAAATAATATTCCTTCTACCCTGAAATACAACATTAACAACAATTTTTATATTCAGCAATAAACAACTTCTATTCGATTTGCATGTATTAAAATGCTAATATGCTTATCTAATGATAAAATGAAAGAAAAATATGTATCAAGCTGCTTTGGACCAGTCACATCACTTTATCTTTACCACTATAGCCTGCATTTCCATGGTGCTTATGAATAGTCTTACGGATATTATGTGTGAATTAAAATGTCTTTAATTATTCTTACCTGAAGGAACAAAGAACGAATCCCCAGTAGTTAATAGATAAGGTGTTTCATGTAACGTACACAAAAGGTCACCAAAATTAACATAAAAGACCTGTAAAATTAAGAATAAGGAGTTCATTTTAAATTGAATCACAATATCTACAGTCTAAGGTACCTTAAAGTAAATGTGGTAGGCAGAATAAAGACTCCCTAAAGACGTTCAGGCTCTGGTCTCTAGAACTCGTAAATATGTGACATTACATGGGATTTTTTTTTTTTTTTTTTTTTTGACAGATAGAGTTAGACAGTGAGAGAGAGAGAGAGAAAGGTCTTCCCATCTGTTGGTTCACTCCCCAAATGGCCACCACGGCCAGAGCTACACCGATCTGAAATCAGGAGCCAGGTGCTTCCTCCTGGTCTCCCATGTTGGTGCAGGGGCCCAAGCACTTGGGCCATCATCTACTGCCCTACTGGGCCACAGCAGAGGGCTGGACTGGAAGAGGAGCAACCGGGACTAGAACCCGGCACCCATATGGGATGCTGGCACCACGGGTGGAGGATTAACCAAGTGAGCCACGGCGCCGGCTCCAGGCGAATGGGATCTTGAGATGGAAAGATTATCTTTGATAATCAAAATGGGCCCAATCTAATGACATGAGCCTTTAAAACGGAAAACTTTCTTCTGGAAGCAGAGGATAAATGAGCAGGGAGGGGAAGATAAAGATAGAGATAGAGATAGAGATAGAGATAGAGATAGAGATAGAGATAGAGATAGAGAGAGAGAGAGAGAGAGAGAGAGAGAATTGATTGATTCACTTTGTACTGTTCCTGGCACTAAAAGAGGCCATGAACCAAAGAAACTTGCACACTTTCCACACTTTCTAAAAGCCAACACCCCACGCCAGGAGTTCCATGCAGATCTCCCTTATGTGCAGAACCCCAAGCACAGGGGTCATCTGCTGCTGCTTTCCCGGAGCATTAGCAAGGAGCTGGATTAGAGGGGGTGCAGCCAAGAAGCCATCTGATGCTTGTTTGCAATGTCAGTTCTGCAGGTGGAGGTGGCTTAACCTGCTTCTACAGATTTCCTGCATTGTGTTTAAGGAAAGCTGACGGTCTATGCCAGTTCTCTAACTTGTCTCCTTTAATTTTTCAAAACAATTTATTTATGTAAGTGTGCATCGAGTTGTTTTTTTTTTGTTTTGTTTTTTTTTTTGACAGGCAGAGTGGACAGTGAGAGAGAGAGACAGAGAGAAAGGTCTTCCTTTTGCCGTTGGTTCACCCTCCAATGGCCGCCGCGGCTGGCACATTGCGCTGATCTGATGGCAGGAGCCAGGTACTTATCCTGGTCTCCCACGGGATGCAGGGCCCAAGCACTTGGGCCATCCTCCACTGCACTCCCTGGCCACAGCAGAGAGCTGGCCTGGAAGAGGGGCAACCGGGACAGAATCCGGCGCCCCGACTGGGACTAGAACCTGGTGTGCCGGCGCCGCAAGGTGGAGGATTAGCCTAGTGAGCCGCGGCGCCAGCCGTGCATCCAGTTTTTAAAATGTATGTAAAAATATTTTTCTTATTATTAACAAAACTCTTAACTCTTTGACTTCCATACAAAAAGTTCAAAGAAATCAAAATCACTGTAACCACACAATAGGACATTATTTCATTATTTTCCTCAACTTTTTTTTTTTTTTTTTTTTTTTGACAGGCAGAGTTAGGCAGTGAGAGAGAGAGACAAAGAGAAAGGTCTTCTTTTTTCCATTGGTTCACACCTCAAGTGGCTGCTACGGCCGGCAGGAGCCAGGTGCTTCCTTCTGGTCTCCATGCGTGTGCAGGGCCCAAGCACTTGGGCCATCCTCCACTGCACTCCCGGACCACAGCAGAGAGCTGGACTGGAAGAGGAGCGACCAGGACAGAATCCGACGCCCCAACCAGGACTAGAACTCAGGGTGCCAGCGCCGCAGGCGGAGGATTAGCCTAGTGAGCCACGGCGCCGGCCTTTCCTCAACTTTCTGTACTCCACATTTTTAAATTCTAAGCAGAAAAGTCACATTCTAATCAGAAAAGTAAAGAATTTTCTTTCAGTTTTCAGTTTAAAACAATATGCTTAAAACTACAATCATTTTCCTTCTGTAGTATATTTCAATTTTTGCCACTACTGTCAACATTATCAAAAAAAAAAACAACATATGATCAATTTATCCCCTTTTAAGTTATTTCCCCAGGAAAAATTTTTAGAAATGATATTCATAGGTCACATCCTAAATTATTCTAATTATTGGAATAAAATTCTAAATTATTAGTAACTCACTAATTATGAAGTGTTATTTATTTTAAAATGTGCATCTCTTTGACTACTAACCAGATTAAACACATTACTATTCAAATTTCCTTTTCTTTAGTAAAGTATTACAGTTTAATTGGTAACTGATATTAGTTCAATGATGACATTCATAAATTTTACCTTCATTATTGTTTCTTTAACGTCATACAGGGACCATCTACTCTTTTTCAAATGTGCTGTTTTTCTTTAAATAATACCTGAGGTACAGCACTGGGCTATTACAGCCATATGAGCACCAAAGCAGCAGATGAAGGACCTCTTTCTCTGTCTCTCTGTCTCTCTGTCTCTCTCTCTCCCTCTGTCACTGTCTTTCAAACAAATAAACACATCTTTTGGAAGGCATTAAAATATAAGATTGGATTAATGAATACTTTTAATTCTTTTAAATCAGGATATTAGTTATCCTAGTGTAGTAATAAATTAATCTTTAGCTATCGTATGTACCTTTTCTTTGCCTCTCCTCAATTTGCACTTCTTCATTTATATAAACGTAAGGATCTTCATGGTTTGTGAGCTTTGATTTTGTGATTTAAAAGAATTTACAATTTTTTAAAATCCTTTTATTTGAAAGGTAGAGAGACAGATTCCCCATCCACTCAATCGTTCATTCCCTAAATGCCCCCAATGGCCATGGTTGAGCCAGGCTGAAACTGGGAATCAGAAACTCAGTCCAGGTCTCCTATGTGGGTGGCAGGTAGCCAATTCCTTGGTCCATCATTTGCTGCCTCCCAGGGTGCACATTATCAGGAAGCTAGAATTGGGAGCACAACTAGAGCTATAACGGAAGCACTCCAATTTGAGACATGGATTTCCTAGAGTCCTGAAATGTCACATACTGAAAAATACCTAAACGTTTTTCATATGCTGCCTTGTTAAACACTGTATATTAAGATAATCGAAAATGAATCTTGATGTGAATGGAAGGGGAGAAGGAGTGGGAAAGGGGAGGGTTGTGGGTGGGAGGGACGGTATGGGGGGGAAGCCATTGTAATCCATAAATCGTATTTGGAAATTTATATTCATTAAATAAAAGTTAAAAAAAAAAAAAAAAAAAAACACAGTGTTAAAATTCAATGCGTTCCGGCTGGTGCCATGGCCAGCGAGTAAAGCCACCACCTGTGGTGCTAGCCATCTGGTCACTGTCTTGAGTCCAGCTGCTCCACCAATCTAGCTCCTTGCTAATGCACCTGCGAAAGCAGTGGAAAATGGTCCAAGTGCTCAGGCCCCGGGACCCACATGGGAGACTTGGAAGAAGCTCCTGGCTCCTGGCTTTTGATAGATCAAGTTCTAGCTTTTGCAGCCATTTGGGGAGTGAACCAGCGGACAAAAGATCGCTCTCTGTCTCTCCCTCTCTTTCTCTGTAACTGTGCCCTTCAAATAAATAAATCTTAAAAAAAAAAAAAAAAATTAAAAGGAAATTCAATGCTTTCAAATTCTCAAAATTTTTCAAAATTTTCAAATTCAGAACACAGAAATGTATGCATGTGTATAAACAGACCAATGTTGCAATGTATGTCTTCAAAAGGAAGTGAGGGAAGAGCGGAGAGATGATCTACTTTGAATCTCCTGCCTTCAGCCTATTACATCTAATAGTATATTACTTAGTAGTTATTGATGCAACTAGCTCTTTGTCCTGAGTCTACTGTTCATGGGCTATGTGATTTTTTTTCTCCCCCAATCTGAAAGGCAGAAAAGACAATGAGAAACAGAGCTCCCATCCACGGATTTACTTCCCAAACAACCTCGATGGCCAGGGCCGTACCCTATATAATTTTTGAAGTCTATGAAACTCTCTATTCTCAAATGCATGTTCAGAGAAATGTGGAATTAGACTTACTCTCTATAAATTCTTCAAGCTCTAAAATTTTAATGATTTGTTTGCAAATTTATATTCTAAGATTCTTTGGGTAAAGACAATTCCTTAAACCTCTAAACCTTACGGCTACAGTGCTACCTATAGAACAGATCACTTAAATAACCATCAACTGACTAACTCTAAACAGATTTAACAAATAAAAAAACTTCTCTGTGCAGTATAGTAATAAGATTTCATTTCTGTGAAAATGGCATTTTAACTACTTTTCAAATTCAATAAATCAAGAGTTGTACCTAGCAAAACATAAATAAATGGAGAAGTATACTCACTAATATATCTGGGCCAACATGCTGCTTTCCCTTTTCTTCATGTGGTCCTAATATCAATTTTCCAGTAGAAAAAAAGGGTGTATCCAATGTTTTATATACTTTCAACTCACCATGCTCAACAAAAAACTGGTAGGTATCTCGTGGCCTTATAAGATCTATGGGGAAAACAGTAATACAAATGTAAAGCCATAGCAATGATATTGTTCAAAAACATGATATACATATACATCTATATAATAAAAGTATTTCCAGACATAAATCGCCTTACAGAGACAAAACAGATTAAGATCAGTGACTCTGGAACTAAAATGTCAGGCCAAATCCTGCCTGTTTTATAATTATCTCTATGACTTTAGGCAAGTTATATAACTTGCCCTCTCCTTTGTTCTTTGCCTCAATTTCCTTTTCTATAGAATGGAAAAATAGTATTTTACCTACATTATAGAGTTGCTGTGAATATCCAAGTGCTATATTATTATTATAAATCACAGTTTTATGTATTATTCACAAATTATGATCTCACTTTCAGAATTTCCTTTTTGTTACAAATCTTTCCAAACCTACAAATACACCCTTTTATCATCAGTTTCTCACTTTATTCCTCTACATGTTTGGAAATCTTAGTGATCACAAAGACTATGGAATATGAAAAATACGTATTTGTAGATTTATGAAATAGGCAAAAAGTGTACTCTTGAAAACACAACTCTTCTAAATTGGTAAAGCATAGCAATGGTTTTTACACTAAACAAAACTCTATGTACTTCTAGATCTGCTGCCAAATAAATAATCTGAATATAGAAAAGACTTTGTTAAGGCACTAACTTAAGATCTCAAATGTAACCTATTTCATAGCCAAAATTTTAAACAGGAAAACTACTACTGCCTTCTAGGTGTGACCTGTTTGCTTTCTGAGGTAGGACAAATAGTCTTCAGTAGCTATTGCTATTGTCACAGGAGTTTTAAAATATTTCCTATATGTTAAGTATTGTCTAGTTGGTAAATAGATGAACATTTTCTAAACTTTCACTCCACCATAACTCATCCCTTAGGAACCCCCAAGGCCTCTCAGAGATACCGTGTTTGATGTCCATCTAACTGGGCAGGAGGCTTTCCAGGACTTTGTGCCAGCATTAAGGTTAAGTCTGGCATTGTACAGCTGACTGAGAACCTTACTATTTATCCTCACAAAGGTTTTACATCCCAGGTACCATTATCAGGATCCACAGGCACAGAAGGTATCAGTGTTAGTCTATAATCTGTGCCTGGCCCCAGAGTATGAGTGTGTCCTAGTATCTGACAACTACCTTGCTATAATTCCCCATCAACAGCCCCTGTCCACAGGGTGAAAGAAGGCCCTGCCACAGTTGGTAGAACCAATACTCATGACGTTAGTAATTTTACCCCAGAGGACAAATACTGAAGGTTGTCTGCTATCAATACCGTACCAAGTTCCCCTGATAGAGGCTACTTACCTGAATTAGACCCTTTACTAAACTGCAAGGTTCAAACATTTGTGTGAGAAAGGGAAAGAAGACAGGTCAATCACCAAGCCACCAGTTTGTTCTTAACTCATTGTTAAGTATTTTCAGTAGCAGCCCTTAGCTTACCCATGAGAATAAACTCTCTTGTTTCTGGATCCTTTACCCTTGTTGGTTGACAAGGATCTCCTAGAGGTATATCTAGATTTACCATTAATCTGTTCTCTGCAAAAGAAATACCATTGAAACACAAACCACTCAAAATTCTTCTCAATTATTAAAGTCCAGTCCAAATTAATCTATAAATAAGCTGTAAAAGAAACTGACCTGAGACATAACAGTCTCTTATTTATAAATGACTGCTTCTTAAATGAATATCCAAATTCAAAACCCCACAATGATTTAGCATGGAAGGAAACTCCTTAAACTTGCTATTTTTGGTAAGTCTATAATATATGTCAACTCTTACATAATCAAATCAAGTAACAGAATGCATATTCTCTAAGATGGTGGGGATTGTATAATATGTTTCAGAAAGAATTCATTAAAATATCTACTGTAACCACAGTTGGGCATGGATAATTTATTCAAGAGCAAATGTTTTATACAATGCTATAACTGATTTATCTTTTAAGAATTTGGAGAAAAGTACATGCTAAAAGTAAATTTTATCTATAGTATCATGTCTGAAGTCCTTAGAAGTAAATTTTAAATTTTGCAGTTTCTTCTCAAAGCATTATATTATTAAAAATAAAATTTAGGGCAAGCATTTGGCCTAGTGGTTGAAACACTGGTTAGGACCCCCACATCCCACATCAAAATGCCTGGTTCAATACCCAGGTCTGGCTCCTGATCCCGGCTTCCTGACAGCAGAGACACCAGGAGGAAGCAGTAATGACTCCCGTATTTAGGTCTTGCCACCCACATGGGAAACCTGGACTGAATTCCAGACCCCTGTCTTCAATGTGGCCTGACTCCAGCTACAAGCATTTGGGAAGTGAACACTAAATGGGAGTATTCTCTCTCTCATTCTCTCCCAAATAATAAATTTAAAAAAAAAGTAATAAAATCCAAAAGTTACTTTCAAGAATAAGTTCATACTTCTTTCAGTGTTATCAAGACAGATCCTTTTCCCATTAGCTACTTTGTTGACTTTTTCCATGTTTCCTTTTGCTTTCCTTTTAGGTACTACTGCATCTGGAGATAGTACTCCACCAATCACAAGTCCTCCTGAAATTCAAGAATACAGGTAAAATATCATGTTTAAGGAAGCAAAAAGCTTGAAGTAAAACTCTTTAATGTGGCACACTTCCTTTCAGAGTACCAAAGAAAATATTATTAGTACTAAATTCTACAGCAAACAATTCAAATAACACAAAACACTAGTAATTTCACTTATGTATCTACCACCCCGAATCTACAAGCACTAATGAAACATGACTGAATGATCTCTATTGCTTAACTGAAATAAAGTCATCACAGGAAGTTAAAAAAGAAAGCTACCAATGAACTACTTATTATAATACACATGTAGGCTTATTCCTTTAACTTAAATATATAAGCCAAAGAAAGAAAATAATTTTAAGATAACACAATACTTTTTTGCTTACCCAATATCATTTTGTATAAAAATGAGAAAATAGATGATAAGAATGGGAAATGCTTTACCGGTTATAATTTTTTCATGATCCAATATAACATTTTAAGCAATGAGAAACTTTGTCAGAAAATATGCAAATAATAATATTGTAAAAAGTCAAATTGCTATCAAAGAGAAAAGAAAACATCTTCATTTCTGTAGTAATCAGATAAACTCAGATTCAAATCCTATTTTTATCAGATTATAAGGAGACAGAGATTAAACAAAGTAACATATGTAAAAGTGTAGGACAGTGCCTGATACATAGTTAGTATAAATAAATTACAGCAAACTGTATTATTTTTTATTAATAGACATTACAGCATAAATTAGGTTTTACCTGATGGTGTTCCTTGATAATCTATTCGCTCTCCTCGCCAGTATTCCAAAGGTTTCAAACGTATTCTCTTGGTCCTGCGAACATTTGGTGTGTTGGAAGGCAATACTGTAAAAGAGAATATGTATGCCTACAGACCAAATACTAGAAAAACAAAATTTTAAGATATATTTGTACTACTGATAAATAAATGCCAAAGAAATATCAAGCTACAAGACAGAGATTTTAAAATTTGATGATATCCAAGGTTGACAATGTCAAGAATATACTCCAATGCAAAACTGTCCAATACACTAAATTGATACAGTGGTATATTATCAAATTCCTAAATTCTTGTTTCTTGTTTGCTACAGGTAATCCTGAAAGTGATATATAATTAAATTCCCCTATTCTAACAGTATAGTTTAAGTGAAATCATCTTGCTTTTCTTTCATTTTTTTTCTTAATGTATTTTTTTGTTGCTAGGTTGTCTGGTGCATAAGAGTTTATGATTTTTCTACCATCTTCATAAATGGTTCATTTTTATCATTATGTGCTCTTCCTTATGCTGCTCAGTATTCTTAATCTTAAATTCTACTTTGCCTAATGATAAAACTGGACTATTTCTCTTTGTATATACTAGCCTATCTAATTCTTTAGCAATCATTTGCTTTAAACTTCTCTTGTGAACATGTTGATTAGTTTGTATCATTTAATCAAATCTGACAGCCTCTACCTTTTAGAAGAACTCAACCTATTCACATTTATTCAGTGTTAGAAGTAATATGCTTCCTTTTACTGCTTCCATCTTACTTTACATGTTCTAGTTATTCTACATGTATGTTTTTCTTTTCCCTCATTTTTACTGGTCAGAATGAATGATCGTTTCTTTTTCTCCTTTCTTCCCTTGGTCACTTGAAAGATTTGCTGTGCTTTTTTACTCTAATATCAATTGTCTTCGGATTCCTGACAAACCCTCTTTCGTTCATGATTACATCAAAAAACAATCTTTTGCCAAGGGATGATCCCCTCCCTTTTCCCATTTGATAAAATGAAACTTACAGATGACATAGTAACTATTTTTTGCCCCTGCTTTCCTCCCCACCATAACAAGTTTTATTAAGTCATCTAGATTTCAAAGTTTTATTACAAAAACTCTTACTTAAGCATTTATATTAAATGTCTATTTTAACACATTACATGTCTATTACATCACATTATTAGCATTTTATGACAGACACACCATAAAGTGAAGGGCAATGAGACACAAGCCTTGTATTCATAATTCTGTCTCCTAGAATGCAAGTTGGACCTGTAACTTCATTTTAATTGATAAACAGATATACCATGGAGGATGACATGTCATTCCTATGATTACATCATGATTTTATAAACAGATTCCCCCTACATGTGTAAGATTTTTGACTTCACAATGTGCAAAACTGAGATGCATTCGTAAGAAAATGTTTCACAAATTTTGATGCTTTCCCAGGCTAGTGATATGCAGCACAATACTTTCCAGTGATACTAGCTAGGTACCAGCAGCTAGTCCCAGCTCCTAGTTAACCACATGACCACAGAGTAAACAACCACCAGTCTACAGTGTGCTGTATTGCTAAACTATGATGTTCAGTAGTTTAGTTGTACTAAATGCATTTCAACGTTAAGATATTTTAAACTTATGATATGTTAATCAGTACATAACCCCTTCTTAAGTTAAAGAGCACTGAATAAGATAATATGATATGTTATACATAGGACACTTTCTACCAGGAGCAGATAAAGACTTGTCCTTGCTGACTATAAAGCAAGCTGTGAAAGGGACTACAGTAAGGATAAGAAACCGCAGAGAGTAGCAAAGAGTGCCCAAACAACTACCTCAGTCCTACAACATCAAGCAACTGAATTCTGCCAATAGCCACAGGAGTTTGGAAGAGAACTGAGCTTCAGATAGACAATAGCCCAGACTGACACTTTGCATACTATGGGACCCATGAGCTAAGTCATCCTGGATTCCTTACCCAAGGAAACCGTGAGATAACAAGTATGTATTGTCAAACTCACTAAGTTTGTGGTAATCTGCTACACAGCAACAGAAAACAAATCCACATTATTTAAATTTAACCATATATTTTACAAGAATCATTGATCACCACTATTTCCTCTTTGGACTTACATCTGATTTACATGATACTTGGTTAGAATATCTCACCTGGAGGATACTAAATTTAATCTTGCATTATCTGCAAAATAAATTCACTTATCAAAAAGAAAGATATCTTGGCTAAGTGTAAGATTACTGGATTGCAATATATTTCTGATAGAAATCTATGTATAGTAATTTATAGTGTTATGTAGATAAGCAGTGCCAGTCATTTTTCTACTTTGAATGGAATATATTTTTGTCTGTAAGCTTCCCTCATACTCATATGTCTAAAGGTTTATCATTTTTAATAATCCTGACTTATACTTGATAAACTCTCTCAAACTATAGAATCAAGCCAATCTTTAATCCAGGGAAATTTCCTTCCACTACTTTAACTGTATTCTCTCTCTGCTTTCTCTAGAAATCCTTTTCTTTGCATATTTTGTCTCCATGATATTTCTATACCATGTCTTTTCCCCTCATGTATTTCTATTGTTTTAAAAAATTGTGACTATCAGTTATTAATTTATCTCTCAACAGTGACTATGTTTTCTTTCAGATCTGTTGACATTTTAAACTGAAAAATGCTTTGTATCAAGAGCCTTCTATACAATAATTCAATCTCTGAAAGTACTCATACTTCTTTTTTTGTGAAAACTGTTATCTATCTCCCACAAAAGCTCCAGCTCACCAGAAGCTGCCTACGGCTGAACAATGCTTGACTGTCCTCTCTGGATACTCTAGTCCATGCTTAGAACACTTTTATTTCCTTTTGTCCAATTCTTACTCCACTCAACCATTTCACTCCAAAACTAACATTAAGCACTGAGGTATGGCAGTCTGTCTTCATATACGCTCACAAAAAATTAAGTGACATGATGTGAGTTTTTGGTCGAGGGAATGAGAGAAAGCTTCACTTCTATTGGTTCTCTTCAGGTACAAGTACAGGACATACAACCTCAAGAATGCAGGAAACACAGAAATGCTACTAAACATCACACAAATCTTGACTGCCAAATATCTTCAGAAACCATGGGTTTCCAATACTCACATGAGCCTCTCCACAGGTTCTATAGCTCCTGCTTTGCCACCTTACCAACCCGGCTACTGCTCTGTTTAGTAATGAAATGGAACAAAGTGGGAGGACAATCTAGCAGAAACACCAGTTACCTAGAAGTTATATTTTCTTTAATAGAATTCTAGCTCCTTAGATCATGTAGGATCATGATCCCTGCTGTGGAACAAACTGTGAAAGTGCTACAGAATTTATAAATGGACAACAGACTCAGTATCTTGTGATGATTTGTTATGAAATTCATGAAATATTAACATATAACTTTATCTACCAATTAATGCAAATAGGATTTTTTCTTGCCTAAGAAAAATTGTTATATTTAGAAACAGACAATAGCATTCTAATCAATGGAAATATTAAAAGAGAAAAATAATCTTACCTAATTTGTGATGTACTTTCTTCTCTGATGTCACTTGAGATCTTTTTACTCTTTTATAATCTGTGAAATGCAAAAGATACCACAAGCAATGGCTACTAATTCCATGTTCACTTAAACTGTGCTACTTTATCAACTTTATATAAGCATTTTAAATAAAATTTGATGTGACAGTATCTTTTACTATTCCTTTTGTTTTTCATTGCTAAGGAATAAAAACTAAGCAAGGACAATGTAACATGTATCTACACTTTGCTACAACAAATATATCTAAAAAGCCTAACAATTGGGGATGGTGCTAGGGTAGTGTTAAAGCCACAGTCTGCAGCGTTGGTATCCATATGAGTGCCAGTCCGAGTTTCAGTTGCTCCACTTCTGATCCAGCACGCTGCTAATGCACCTGGGAAAGCAGCAGAGGATGGCTCAAGTAGTTGGCCCCCACACTCACATGGGAGAGCCGGAAGAAGTTCCTGGTTCCTGACTTCAGCCTGGCCCAGCCTTGGTTGTTACAGCCATTTGGGGAGTGAACCAGTAGATGGAAGATCTCTGTCTGTCTGTCCTTTCTCTCTCTAACTCTGCCTTTCAAATAAATAAACAAAGCTTAAGGATAAAAACCCTAATAGTTAAAAATAACAAAAACAAAAAGTAGGCTTTCTATTGCTTTTGGACAAATGAAGTGATAAGAATGCAAAATATGATAATGAACAAATATGATAATAATGTAATTAATCTATGATCTATCAGCAACTTTCTCTTTAAAGTTTTAAATAGTACAAACATACTGAGAGGGGTTCTCAACTTTCTATTTGGTCTTAGTGACTTACTTGACTATTAGAACGAAGAAATGATTTTCTGACATTTTGAAAGCTAACACCAAATAAGATACATGTGTTCCATCAGGGATTTTCACTCTGCAGTAGAATATTAATGAAAACTTGGCAACCCTGAGACTTCCATGCTGGGAGGAAACTTATGACAGTCACGTGGAAAGGTCATGTGGAGGAAAAGAGATGTTTGGCTAGGCCTCAACATTCCAGCTGCCCTAGCTAGGTGCCAAATACAGAAATGAGAAAGTCACCTTGGATGTTCAAATGAATTCATGAGAGTGCTCAGCTAAGCCAAGTCAACCCACAAAGCCACAAAAGATAAATAAAGTTTTAAAAATCAATTGTTACATTGTTAAGAATTGTTAAATTGTTAAGAATGACTGAATTAAATATAAAGTTGCTGGTGTGGAAAAACCACCAGTGATCACAAAATTTAATTTCCCTGTCCAAAAGTAGGTTAGTGTGCTTGCTTGGACAGTGCTAATAGTAAAATTGGAATGATATGGAGAAGATTAGCATGACTCTTGTACAAGAATGACATGCAAATTTGTGAAGCATTCCATATTCTAAAAAGAAGACACACACTGGTCTTGAGTTCAGAGTGAATCAAAAATGAGCTATTCAAATTTAGTTGCAATTATTGCCTATATTTCAGATAGGATTCTTCTGAGAATGCCAACTTGATTATGACAGAGTCATTTCAGGCACAGGCCTTATTCTTATATTGTTCTTGCTGATGCTAAGATAGACATGTATACCAATAACTTTGATACGCTATCATGAGTTCTGTGATGTCTCTTCTTATCTTGATACTATTAATTTATAAGGAATCTATAGTTAGGATGTATTTTAATGACTTCCATTATACTTTAGTTCCTTCTGATTTGACCCAAAGAAGAAAAATTAAATTTCAAGGATTTCCATGTTTTTTAGAAGACTGAAGTCAATGGGATGAAAGCCAGAATCAAGAAATGAAATGCTAATAAGTAACTTACAGAAAACGAACATAAAGTAAACATTGGATATTTTGATGTGCTGCTTCAATTTGCATTAGTAAATTAGTGTGTTGCAGAAGAACACATGAAATCATGTGTTCTTTTATAAAATTTTAAATTTTTTAAAATTCATTTTAAAAATGAATTTTTACAAATAGATTCATGATTGCCTGTGCCTGAGGCAAGAGAATAGAGGGTGGTAGCTAAAGGGTATGGATTTCTTTCTTGGAGTGAAGAAAAGTTCTAAAATTAACTATGATGATGACTACATTACTGAACTGTTTTCATGGTAAATAGGTTAACTGTATGACTATTATACAAAGCCTATCTCAATAATGCTGTTATCAAAACAAACAAAAATTCAATTTCTGGGGGCTGGCACTGTGGCATTGGGAGTAAAGCTACCACCTGCAGTGCCAGCATCTCATACAGGCACCGGTTCAAGTCCTGGCTCCTCCACTTCCGATCCAGCTCTCAGCTATGGCCTGGGAAAGCAGCAGCTCTGGCCATTGCCATCATCTGGGGAGTGAACCAATGGATGGAAAACCTCTCCCCCCACCCCCACCCCGTCTCTCTGTAACTCTGCCTTTCAAATAAATAAATAAACCTTTAAAAAAAATCCATTTCCCTTGCAATTCTATTAAAATTAGAGGTCTCAACTTTGGTGAAAATTTTCCCAACAGTGGGTCTTGGAGGTGGCTGGTAGGATCACAAATCGAACCAAGTAAATAAGTGAATATATTCAGAATAATGAGAAACAATTTCTCACTATTTGAGAAGATGTTTATAAAAATAGAAAAGGGGAAGTCTGTGTTGGACTGGAATTGTAAGTATGCATGTTAATTCATAGTTTCTAAGTATAGAAATAGACATACAAAGAGCTGCCTGTGCTATGCAAAGTATACATGTGCATGTATCTATTTCCTATTTCTGTCTACTAAGAGAGCCAAAGCAATGATACCACAGTAACAATGGATACATTAAGTACCTATTATCTGGCATTCTAAATGCCATCCTCCTCTGAAAAGAACAAGGTTCTCCAATGGAAATAATTGATTACAGAGTTGGGGCAGAATTAGTAGGTTGGAACATCTTATGCCAAAAAACTTAATAAATGGGGGCCAGCGCTATGGCAAATTGAGTTAAGCTGCCACCTGCGAAGCCAGCATTCCATACAGAGATCACTGGTTTGAATTCAGTTTTCAATCAAGCTTCCTGCTAATGTAACTGGGTAAGCAGCCAAAGATGGTCCTAGTGTCTGGTCCTCTGACACTACGTGGGAGACCCAGAGGGGTTCCAGGCTCATGGCTTCAGCCTGGACCAGCACCAGATGTTGCAGTCATATGGGGGAATAAATCAGTGGATAGAAGATTTCTTCATTTTCCTCTCTCTCTCTGCCTTTCAAATAAATAAAAAAATAAAAAAAAACTTTTTTTACAATGATTTACTCATTTATTTGAGAGGCAGAGCCACAGAGAAGAGAGAGAGAGATCTTTCATCTGCTGGTTCACTCCCCAAATGGCCGCAATGGCTGGAGCTTGATAGATCCAAAGCAAGGAGCCAGGAACTTCCTCCAGTTCTCCCACGTGGGTGCAGGGGCCAAGCACCTGGGCCATTTTCCACTACTTTCTCAGGCCATCATCAGAGAGCTGGACTGGAAGAGGAGCAGCTGGGACACACACTGGCGCCCATATGGGAATGCAAGCAGAGGCTCAACCTACTACACCACAGCACAGGCCCCAGTAAATAAATCTTTAAAAAAAAAAAAAAAAAAACTGAAGAATGATAGAAGGGATCTATCTGTGGCTCAGGGAGTTAAGCTCCTGCCTTTGACGCTGGCGTCCCATATGAGCAGCAGTTAGGCTTCTGGATGCTTTGCTACATTAACAAAATAACAAAACAGATACAACTTTATAAAGTGACTATCAACACCAGGTATTTACTGAATACCAATGCATGGGAAAAGAACTGACACAACATCTTACATACAAGGAAGTAAAAGTTAAGCACACTGAAATTTCTTACTGAAGATAACACAGCTAGTAAACAACAGAGTTTGATTCAATCCTAGGTCCCTGATTCTGAAATCTTTTAACTAATGCACTCTTTTTTTTTTTTTTTTTTTGACAGGCAGAGTGGACAGTGAGAGAGAGAGACAGAGAGAAAGGTCTTCCTTTGCTGTTGGTTCACCCTCCAATGGCCGCCGCGGCCGGCGCGCTGCGGCCGGCGCGCTGCGGCCGGCGCACCGCGCTGATCCGATGGCAGGAACCAGGAGCCAGGTGCTTTTCCTGGTCTCCCATGGGGTGCAGGGCCCAAGCACTTGGGCCATCCTCCACTGCACTCCCGGGCCACAGCAGAGGGCTGGCCTGGAAGAGGGGCAACCGGGACAGAATCCGGCGCCCTGACCGGGACTAGAACCCGGTGTGCCGGCGCCGCTAGGCAGAGGATTAGCCTAGTGAGCCGCGGCGCCGGCCAACTAATGCACTCTTTAAATAACTCCTGGATCAAAAAAAACACAAGACTAAAATTGAGAGTATATGACAACAATACTACACAGCAAAACCTTTAAAATGAAGCCGAAACTATATTTCAGAAAATTGTTGCTTCTTTATCAAATAAAAAGTGGGAAAAGACAGAAAGCATTCAAGTTGAGAGGAAAATAATAAAAGCAGGAGAGAAAAGAATTAAAAAGTAAAAACAATTAATGAATTCTGAAGAAAAAAACACTAAACAGATTATATCTAAACGCATATTTTAGAAGCATGAAAAATATTATAAAACTCCCTATATTAAAAAGCATTTAAAAAACTTTAGTATGAGTATGAACATTTTCAAGCTTATTCAAAACATAGAAAATAGTATAATAATCCCAGTACACCAGCACCCAGCTTCAGTAATCCTCAGTAGATGGCTAATCATGCTTTATATAAACCCCGATTTATCACTCTAACATTTGTAAACTCTGGAGTAGACACTTTAAGCACTAAAATTTCACTATGACTTATTAAAGAATTGTCATTCATTTTTCTCTTTCTAATTACAGGGTCTTACAAATCTCTCCCTACATAGTAAGACTCTAAAGAGTAGATACCAAATACACATTTGCCACCAGTGACAAGAAGAACATAGGATACTTTAACTCTGTATTCATAATGTCACAAAAATCAAGACTATAGGAAGTAAGTAGTAACTTACCTAAACTATCCTGAATGTCTTCGTCATTCACATCAGAATTTTTCTTTCTAGACATTAAATTATTCTTGAGCCTGGCAGGTCCACTGCAGAAAAAAAAATTGAAAATCACAAAATTTTTGTTGATATTACATATATATAAATAAAATGTATCTAACAGGGGTCATTTTTCTTCTAAAACTAACAGATTTCTTTTTTATAAAACCAATTGTGTTGTTATAGGTCACCAAGAATATACTCACTTAATTCATAAAAGACTACATTTAATTCTGTAACTAAGGTCAAACATTAATACTGAATTTTATAACCTTTAAACTCATGAGTCAGTTATAAATTTAGTCAACTCAAACAACATTCATTGATAAAAATCAGATTAAAAAAATATGAAAGACTGGGATTGTGGCATAGCATGTTAAGTCATAGCCTGTAGCGCCAACATCCCATAAGGATGCCAGTTTAATCCCCAGCTGTTCTAACTTCTAACCCAGCTCCCTATTAAAATGCCTGAAAAAGCAACAGACGATGGCCTAAGTGCTTGGGCTTCTACATCCACTTGGGAGACTTAGAAGAAACTCCTGGCTCCTGGCTTCAGCCTGGTCCAGCCCTGGCCATTGGTGCTGCTATGAGAATAAATCAGTGGATGGAAAATTTCTCTGTCTCTTCCTCTTCCTCTCTCTCTCTCTGCCTTTCAAATAAATAAAAAGTACATCTAAAAAAAAGAAAAAAATCAGAAATAAGTTTGATGCTGTGGCATAGCGGGTAAAGCTACCACCTGCAGTGCCAGCAACCTATATAGCCAAAGGTTCAAGTCCCAGCTGCTCCATTTACAATCCAGCTCCATGCTAATGTGTCTAGGAAAGCAATGGAAGATGGCCCAAGTCCTTGGACCTCTGCACCCATGTGGAAAATGTGGAAGAAGCTCCTGGCTCCAGGCTTTGGAGTGGCCCAGCTCCAGCCACTGTGGCCATGTGGGGAGTGAACCAGCAGATGGGAAGACCTCTCCTCTCTCTCTCTGCCTCTGCCTTTCTGTAACTCTGCCTCTCAAAGAAATCTTTAAAAAATAAAAAAAATTCAAAAATTTCAAAAAGATTCAGTGCCCAAGATTTTTTTCTGGGCCTGGTTGTAGAGGTGCTCTGAGTGGCAAGAACTAAAATTTCAGACTACCTGAAGGAAAGTATTCAGCATAAAGCATATTTCTTGCATAGTTTACTTACGCACAGTAAATCATGGTTATTAGGAAGTGATAGGAAATTCAAATTCCTAGATACCAACCAAGGGCTTCAGTCCTTTCTAATAGTAGTATCCTCAGACCTGCTAGGCTAACTATTCTGTAACATTTATTGTCTTGGAAAAACTATTTTTTTAAAGGGTATGATCCTGAAAAGATTTGTAGATGATAAATAACATTTACATATGCAAATACTGTTGACTGAGGGCAATTCAGATCAACTAGTGAGAGACTAGCACACTATGGAAGCTCTCTCTCTCTCTCTCTCTCTCTCTCTCTCTTGCCTCTGCCTCTCTGTAACTCTGCCTTTCAAATAAATAAATAAATAAATCTCTCTCAAAAAAAGCATATGTTTAAAGAAAGAAAATTACATCCTAAAACAAATAGGACTCAAAATGTGTTTCAGAATCTGTTAGAAATGATCCAGAAATTGTCAGAGATAATTCTAATATTCTAGTCCTAGATCCTTTTTCTTCTGTCATAAACCCAGAATTGGCCTAATCACAAACACCCAACATGTAATTTTAGCCATCCCTCAAAAGTCTGAATATTCACAATAATTTAACATTCATTCATTTTGTGAAAGGTTTTATGACTGAAAATATAAAAAGTAAATCTGATTTGCTCACTGTCATTTAACACAAATTCTTCCATATCCCTCCTTTCAAGAGGTGGGGCCTTATTGCCCCCTTTGTATATGGTCTATACTTAGTGACTTGTTTCAAAGGAACAGAATAAAGTAGAAGCGACAGTGTAAACTTCAGACACAAAGTCATGCAAAAACAATGTGATAGTCACACTTCCTCTTACACTACTTGATTTTGAGAAGTCAGGTGATACACTGAGCATTGCTATGGAGAAGGCCACAGAGCAAGGAACTAGGGCATCCAGCCAATAGTCATCTCAGTGAGATATCTCACAAGTGGACCCTTCAGTTCCAGTCAAGCCTCAAAGGACTGTAAATCAGAAAGATATCTTTACAAACCCTAAGGCAGAACTAAATAGCTAAGCCCCTCCCAGATTTCTGACCCAAAGAAACTAAGAAAGAATAAATGGTAGCAAGCTAGTAACAAAATTAAAATAAGGTTTTGGGTAATTTGTAACACAGCAATGGGTAACTAACATAGTGAGTAAACATTATTATCCTTAGACTATTTGCATACCTTTCTTCCAAAACCAATGGCTTAGGCTCTACAGAATCCAGATTAAACCCTGTGGGTGTTTTGCATGTACATTCATTGCTCTGAGATTTTAGATGAACATTTTGTGCCGTCATGATACCATCTTGTTCCTTTGAGCTTTCCACAGATCTACAAAAACAAGAAGTTTAGAACTGTTTATACTTCTTCAAAAAATACTTCAGAAATAATATCCAGGTGAGCATATAAACAATATAGCATTAACTATAACATATATTAGATTACCCCGTTCAGGTCCTAAAACTTGCAGCAACCTCAGAATGGAACTTAGACCTAGTAAGATTTCTGATTGTAGAAATTCTCATGAGAGATGATACAGATGCAGTCTAAGATAGAAGTGCTGATAAAAAAAAACAGTGGGAGACATTCCTAAAGGGAGCAACATTTTACTATACAATCTAGCATACTGTACTGGAAGATCTATAGAAAACTATAACTGCTTTCTTTGAAACAAAGAGAAGGCCAACTAGAGAGGGAGAGAGGGGCTGGAAGAGAGACCTAACTCATATCTTTGGAAGTCAGCTAATCAGTTTACTACAAATATATGCCAACAAGACACTTCTTAGTGACAAACTATTTCTACCATGCCCCTGGGATTTACCAACAGAATTGAAAGAAATAAAAGATATTATAAGAAAATACTATAAAAATTACATACCAACAATTTTTAGAAAACCTGCATGAAATGGAAAAATTCCTAGAAGCGCCCAATTTTACAAAATCGACTCAAAAAGAAATATTTTCAAAAGATCTATTAATCAATAACTTAAAAAACCATACACAAGAAAAGCTTAGGCCGATAACTTCACTGGTGAATTCTATCAAGCAGTGAAGGAATACAAATTCATCACACTAAAAAAAAGGAGAAGGCAGAAATGAAAATGGCTGGAATGGGTGTTTGGTGTGGCAGTTAAGACACTGCTTGATACACCCATTTTCCATATTACAATGGCCTGGGTTTGAGTCCTGGCTTTGCTTCCAATTCCAGCTTCTTGCTAATGCACACCCTGGGTAATGTGCTGATGGCTCAAATACTTGGCCCTTGCCATCCACATAGAGACCTGGATTGACTCTGGGCTCTTGCCTTCAGTTCGGCCCAGTCCAGGTTGTTACAACCATGTGGGAAGTGAACCAGTGAACCAGATTTGGAAGATGGGATTTCTCTGTTTTCTTTGTATATCATAATGAAATACACTAATATATTTTAGGGCATTCAATCATTCAATACTTCCTAAACACCTTGCTATTTCTTGCACACAGGATCTATGAAATATTTGTTCAATGCATGCTTTGGCAAAAAACAAGAATGCAAAAAAAACTATCTTCCTCAGTAGGTTGTTAGAAATGATGATGTTTCATTAAAAGCATCTAGCAAACACTCAGCATGCAGAAAGCACTAGAAAATGAAGTATTAAAGGACTGAGACATGTTTCTAATTATTGAAATCACAATATTAATTAAAATGAAGCAACTTGTACATTTCAAAATTACTAAGACAGGCCAGTAATGTCTTCATAGTAGCAGTAGGTTAAACCTCTGCCTGTGGCACCGACTGGCACCTCATATGGAAACAGGTTCGTGTCTTTGCTCCTCCTCTTCTGATCCAGCTCTCCGCTTATGGGGCCTGGGAAAGAAGTGGAAGATGGCCCAAGTGCTTGGACCCGGGTACCTGCATTGGAGACTGGGAAGCAGCTCCTGGCTCCTGTCTTCGGATAGGCCCAGCTCAGCTGTTGCAGCCATTTGGGAAGTGAACCAGTGGATAGAAAACCTCACTCTCCTTCTCTCTCCCTCCCTCTCTCTCTCTCTCTCTCTCTCTCTAACTCTGCTTCCCAAATAAATAAATAAATCTTTAATTTAAAAAAAATGATAGGGCTGGCACTGTGGGGCAGCAGGTTAAAGCCCTGGCCTGCAGCACCTGCATCCCATATGGGTGCTGATTCGAGTTCCGGCTGCTCCACTTCCGATCCAGCTCTCTGCTATGGCCTGGGAAAGCAGCAGCAGATGGCCCAAGTCCTTGGACCCCTGCACCAGCGTGGGAGACCCAGAAGAAGCTCCAGGCTCCTGGCTTCGGATCAGCCCAGCTCTGGCCGTTGTGGCTATTTGAGAAGTTAATCAGCAGATGGAAGACCTCTCTCTCTTTCTAACTCTGGCTTCAAATAAATAAATAAATCTTTTAAAAAATGACTATGACAATAAATTTTATGTTATACAATTTTCATAATAATTTCTTTAAAAAGGAGGAGGCAAGATGGTGGAATAGGAAAGGAAGCACACTGATAGTCCGGGGAGAGATAGTTTAATAAAAGTGGAGATACTGCAGGTTCAAGGAAGAGTAGGGGAAGAAACAGCAGAAGAAACTCTTCCGGAACGCGTGATTCACAGTGGACCTGCGTGGAGAGCGTGGGAGCCCACAGTTCGGGACACCAGCGGCAGACTCAACACACCAGCGCTAGAACTCGAGGTGAGCCGAACCTCAATAGCCCAAGACACCGGCAGGCAAACGGAGAGAGGAGACTAGAGGGAATGACCCCCGGGGTGGGGGGGAAGTTCATCAGGCTAACTAGAAGAGAGAGAGAGAGAGAGAGAGAGAGAGAGAGAGAGAGAGAGAAAAGTGACTGGTACAGACACGGGTTTCTCTCTCTCCGCTCACCTCTCAAGGGCGAGCAAGACAAAGAGCAGGCGCCATCTTGGACATACGTCATAAGCAGAGCAACCTCAGGTCTGCACTGGCCCTGAGCCTAGCAGAAAAACCTGACTCTGGGCGGGGCGAATTAACAGGAGATTAGGACCTAGTAAATCTGTGGTGCTACTGAACTGAGACTGTGAAAAAAAGAGACAGTGGAGGAGAGAACTCACGGAATTCACGTGAGTACTCTCCAGAGACGCTATAATTCCGTAACTGAAGGAGAATTTGAGCCCACTCTGAGGGCAGAACAGATTCCCTGTGTGGTCCTTGGGAAAGAGCTTCCAATCTCTGGCTCCTGTGGGTATATCATTTGCCTGCTAACTACCTCCAACTTCGTTCAGCTGTGTGGAATTACTTCCCTTTTGAATCAAAGAAAGAAAGAAAGAGAGAGAGAGAGAGATCTACCATGCCTAACCTGGGAGTGTCACCTTTGGCACACCAAACAGAGCTCTCAGGCCACACCCATCTCAAGCCTCTAAGGCTCCATCAAAAACAGACAGTCCACTTAATCTAGAGTCATAGTATAACAAGAAAAAGCACCACAGTGAAGAAACCAAATATCTCCAATATGCCAAATAACAAACGCAAAAACCGAGGTAATAAAAACAAGGGAGTCACCATGACACCCCCAAATGAAAAAGACACCCCAATTCAAGATTATGAAGATGATGACATAGAAGAAATGCAAGAAGCAGATCTCAAAAAATTGATAAGAACATTAAGAAGTTCTCAAAAACAAATTCTTGAACTATAGAAATCCTTAATGGACAAGATAGAAAATCTCTCTCGTGAAAATGAAATATTAAGGAGGAATCAAAATGAAACGAAACAACTAGTACAACAGGAAACTGTGATAGTGACGAGAAATCATAATGAAGTGAAGAATTCAATAGATCAAATGAAAAACACAATAGAGAGCCTTACAAACAGAATGGGTGAAGCAGAAGAGAGAATATCGGACTTAGAAAACAGAGAACAGGAAAGGATACAGTCAAACCAAAGAAAAGAAGAGGAAATTAGAAATCTAAAACATATTGTCGGGAATCTACAGAATACTATTAAAAAAAACCAACATTCGGGTTCTAGGAGTTCCTGAAGGCATGGAGAGGGAGAAAGGATAAGAAGGCCTTTTTAGTGAGATATTAGCAGAAAATTTCCCAGGTTTGGAGAAGGACAGAGAAATCCTAGTACAGGAAGCCCATAGAACCCCTAATAAACACGACCAAAAGAGATCCTCACCACGACACGTTGTAATTAAGCTCTCCACAGTGAAACATAAAGAAAAGATCCTAAAATGTGCAAGAGAGAAACGTCAGATTACTCTCAGAGGATCTCCAATCAGACTCACAGCTGACTTCTCATCAGAAACCCTGCAAGCTAGGAGGGAATGGCAAGATACAGCCCAGGTACTAAGAGAGAACAACTGCCAGCCCAGAATATTATATCCTGCAAAGCTATCATTTGTGAATGAAGGTGAAATAAAGACTTTTCATAGCAAACAGAAATTGAAAGAATTTGTCGCCACTCGTCCAGCCCTGCAAAAGATGCTTAAAGATGTGTTACACACAGAAACACAGAAACACGGTCATCAATATGAAAGAAGGTAAAGGAAGGAAACCTCACAGCAAAAGATCACAGGGAATTCAAAGCATATATTAGAACTTATCTTTGGCAAATGGCAGGGCAAAGTTACCACTTATCATTAGTCACATTGAACGTGAATGGCCTGAACTGTCCAGTTAAAAGACACTGATTGGCTGAATGGCTTAAGGAACAAAACCCATCTATTTGCTACTTACAAGAAACACATCTGTCCAACAAAGATCCATACAGACTGAAAGTGAAAGGCTGGAAAAAGATATACCATGCCAACAGAAATGAAAAAAGAGCGGGCGTAGCCATCTTAATATCAGACAACATAAACTTTACCACTAAAACTGTTAAGAGACACAAAGAGGGACACTATATAATGATTAAGGGATCAATACAACAAGAAGATTTAATGATTATCAATGTATATGCACCTAACTACAGGGCACCGGTTTATCTAAAAGATTTGTTAAGGGACTTAAAGGGAGACTTAGAACCCAATACAATAGTACTGGGGGACTTCAATACTCCACTCTCAGAAATAGACAGATCAACAGGACAGAAGATCAACAAGGATACCGTAGATTTAAACGACACTATAGCCCAAATGGATCTAACAGATATATACAGAACTTTCAATCCTACAGTTAAAGATTTTACATTCTTCTCAGCAGTACATGGAACCTTCTCTAGGACTGACCACATACTAGGCCATAAAGCAAGTCTCAGCAAATTCAAAAGAATTAGAATCATACCATGCAGCTTCTCAGACCATAAAGGAATGAAGTTGGAAATTAGCAACTCAGGAATCCCTAGAGCATACGCAAATACATGGAGACTGAACAACATGCTCCTGAATGAACAATGGGTCATAGAAGAAATTAAAAGAGAAATCAAAAATTTCCTGGAAGTAAATGAGGATAACAGCACAACATACCAAAACTTATGGGACGCAGCAAAAGCAGTGTTAAGAGGAAAGTTTATATCAATAGGTGCCTACATCAAGAAATTGGAAAGGCACCAAATAGATGAGCTTTCCATTCACCTCAAGGATCTAGAAAACCTACAGCAAACCAGACCCAAATCTAGTAGGAGAAGAGAAATAATTAAAATCAGAGAAGAAATCAACAGGATTGAATCAAGAAAAACATTACAAAAAATCAGCCAAACGAGGAGCTGGTTTTTTGAAAAAATAAACAAAATTGACACCCCATTGGCCCAACTAACTAAAAAAAGAAGAGAAAAGACCCAAATCAATAAAATCAGAGATGAAAAAGGAAATGTAACAACAGACACCACAGAAATAAAAAGAATCATCAGAAATTACTACAAGGACTTGTATGCCAGCAAACAGGGAAACCTATCAGAAATGGATAGATTCCTGGACACATGCAACCTACCTAAATTGAACCAGGAAGACATCGAAAACCTAAACAGACCCATAACTGAGACAGAAATTTTAACAGTAATAAAGGCCCTCCCAACAAAGAAAAGCCCAGGACCAGATGGATTCACTGCTGAATCTACCAGACATTTAAAGAAGAACTGACTCCAATTCTTTTCAAGCTATTCAGAACATTCAAAAAAGAGGGAGTCCTCCCAAATTCTTTCTATGAAGCCAGCATCACCTTAATTCCTAAGCCGGAAAAAGATGCAGCACTGAAAGAGAATTACAGACCAATATCCCTGATGAACATAGATGCAAAAATCCTCAATAAAATTCTGGCCAATAGAATGCAACAACACATCAGAAAGATCATCCACCCAGACCAAGTGGGATTTATCCCTGGTATGCAGGGATGGTTCAACGTGCGCAAAACAATCAATGTGATACACCACATTAACAGACAGCAGAAAAAAAACCGTATGATTATCTCAATAGATGCCGTGAAAGCATTTGATAAAATACAACACCCGTTCATGATGAAAACTCTAAGCAAACTGGGTTTGGAAGGAACATTCCTCAATACAATCAAAGCAATCTATGAAAAACCCACAGCCAACATCCTATTGAATGGGGAAAAGTTGGAAGCATTTCCACTGAGATCTGGGACCAGACAGGGATGCCCACTCTCACCAATGCTATTCAATATAGTTCTGGAAGTTCTAGCTAGAGCTATTAGGCAAGAAAAAGAAATTAAAGGGATACAAATTGGGAAGGAAGAAACTATCCCTCTTGCAGATGATATGATTCTTTATTTAGGGGACCCAAAGAACTCTACTAAGAGACTATTGGAACTCATAGAAGAGTTTGGCAAAGTAGCAGGGTATAAAATCAATGCACAAAAATCAACAGCCTTTGTATACACAAGCAATGCCATGGCTGAGGAAGAACTTCTAAGATCAATCCCATTCACAATAGCTACAAAAACAATCAAATACCTTGGAATAATCTTAACCAAGGACATTCAAGATCTCTACGACGAGAATTACAAAATCTTAAAGAAAGAAATAGAAGAGGATACCAAAACATGGAAAAATCTTCCATGCTCATGGATTGGAAGAATCAATATCATCAAAATGTCCATTCTCCCAAAAGCAATTTACAGATTCAATGCAATACCAATCAAGATACCGAAGACCTTCTTCTCAGATCTGGAAAAAATGGTGCTGAAATTTATATGGAGGCACAAGAGACCTCGAATAGCTAAAGCAATCTTGTACAACAAAAACAAAGCCGGAGGCATCACAATACCAGATTTCAGGACATACTACAGGGCAGTTGTAATCAAAACAGCATGGTACTGGTACAGAAACAGATGGATAGACCAATGGAACAGAATTCAAACACCAGAAATCAACCCAAACATCTACAGCCAACTCATATTTGATCAAGGATCCAAAACCAATCCCTGGAGTAAGCACAGTCTATTCAATAAATGGTGCTGGGAAAATTGGATTTCCACGTGCAGAAGCATGAAGCAAGACCCCTACCTTTCACCTTACACAAAAATCCACTCAACATGGATTAAAGACTTAAATCTACGACCTGACACCATCAAATTATTAGAGAGCATTGGAAAAACCCTGCAAGATATAGGTACCGGCAATGACTTCTTGGAAAACACCCCAGAAGCACAGGCAGTCAAAGCCAAAATTAACATTTGGGATTGCATCAAATTGAGAAGTTTCTGTACTGCAAAAGAAACAGTCAGGAAAGTGAAGAGACAACCGACAGAATGGGAAAATATATTTGCAAACTATGCAATTGATAAAGGGTTGATAACCAGAATCTACAAAGAGATCAAGAAACTCCACAACATCAAAACAAACAACCCACTTAAGAGATGGGCCAAGGACCTCAATAGACATTTTTCAAAAGAGGAAATCCAAATGGCCAACAGACACATGAAAAAATGTTCAAGATCACTAGCAATCAGGGAAATGCAAATCAAAACCACAATGAGGTTCCACCTCACCCCAGTTAGAATGGCTCACATTCAGAAATCTACCAACAATAGATGCTGGAGAGGATGTGGGGAAAAAGGGACACTAACCCACTGTTGGTGGGAATGCAAACTGGTAAGCCACTATGGAAGTCAGTCTGGAGATTCCTCAGAAACCTGAATATAACCCTACCGTTCGACCCAGCCATCCCACTCCTTGGAATTTACCCAAAGGAAATGAAATTGGCAAACAAAAAAGCAGTCTGCACATTAATGTTTATTGCAGCTCAATTCACAATAGCTAAGACCTGGAACCAACCCAAATGCCCATCAACAGTAGACTGGATAAAGAAATTATGGGACATGTACTCTATAGAATACTATACAGCAGTCAAAAACAACGAAACCCAGTCATTTGCAACAAGATGGAGGTTTGGAAAACATCATGCTGAGTGAACTAAGCCAGTCCCAAAGGGACAAATATCATATGTTCTCCCTGATTGGCGACAACTAACTGAGCACCAAAGGGGAAACTTGTTGAAGTGGAATGGACACTATGAGCAACAGTGACTTGAGCAGCTCTTGTCCTGACGGTTGATGTACAATGTAATACTTTATCCATTTTAGTATTTTTTTTTTGTTCTAGTACCATTGGTTGAACTCTGTAATTAGCACACAATTATTCTTAGGTGTTTAAATTTTAACTGAAAAGTGATCCCTGTTAGGAATTTGGAAAACATTATGTTGAGTGAAATAAGCCAATCCCAAAGGGACAAATACCACTTGTTTTCCTTGATAGGTGACAACTAACTGAGCACCAAAAAGGAAACCTGTTAAAGTGAAATGAACACTATGAGAAACGGTGACTTGATCAGCCCTCACCCTGACTGTTGATGAGCAGCTTAATATGTTATCCCTCTTAGTATCTTTTTTGTTTGTTCTACTTAATACTTTTGGTTGAATACTGTAATCAATACACAATTCTTCTTAAGTGCTGAAACTTAACTGGAAAGTGATCCCTGTTAAATATAAGAGTGGGAATAAGAGAGGGAAGAGATGCGCAATTCGGGACATGCTCAAGCTGACTTACCTCAAATGGTAGAGTTAGAAACATACCAGGGGATTCGAATTCAATCCCATCGAGGTGACATGTACCAATGCCATCTCACTAGTCCCAGTGATCAATTTCTGTTCACAATTGATAGTAATGATAGGACTAAGAACCAAAGGGATCACATAAACAAGAATAGTATCTGCAAATACTAGCTGATAGAATCAAAAAGGGAGAGAATGATCCAACATGGGAAGTGAGATACACAGCAGACCCATAGAATGGCAAATGTCCTAACAGCACTCTGGCCTCATAATCAGCCCTTAAGGCATACGGATCCGGCTGAAAAGCCCATGAGAGTATTTCAGGAATGGAAAGCCAAGACACTCTGAGGGAAAAAAAAAAAAAAAAAACCTAAATGAAAGATCTCTGTGAGTGAGATCCCAGTGGAAAGAATGGGTCATCGAAGAAGGAGGTACCTTTCTCTGAAGGGAGGAGAGAACTTCCACTTTGACCATGGCCTTGTCTAAATATGATCAGAGTTGGTAAACTCAGGGGGCTTCCATAGCCTTGGCAGCTCATGACAAGAGCCTAGGGTGATTACTGATGCCATAAACAAGAGTGTCAATTTGTTAAGTCAACAACAGGAGTCACTGTGCACTTACTCCTCATGTAGGATCTCTGTCCTTAGTGTGCTGTACATTGAGATTTAATGCTATAACTAGTACTCAAACAGTATTTTTCACTTTATGTTTCTGTGTGGGAGCAAACTGTTGAAATCTTTACTTAATGTATGCTAAACTGATCTTCTGTATATAAAGAGAATCGAAAATGAATCTTGATGTGAATGGAAGGGGAGAGGGAGTGGGAAAGGGGAGGGTTGCGGTTTGGAGGGACATTATGGGGGGGAAGCCATTGTAATCCATAAGCTGTACTTTGGAAATTTATATTCATTAAATAAAATTTTAAAAAAAATTTCTTTAAAAAGAAACTCTTTGGCAACAATACTTACTAAATTTCACACTCACAACTCCAGGTGCTATATATTATTCTCCATTTTAACATGAGGAGACAAGTTCATAGTACTCTCTGCCTGGTTGTCACCCAGCTAATGGCAGAGTCTGGATTTACTACCAGATATGTCAGAGTGCAGAGCCCTTTACACTAATACTGCTTCTCCATAAAGGATTAAATGACGCTGATACACTATTAAATACTGAACAACAAAAGTACTATACTGTACATAACAGACATTACCTGGAACAACTGAGATTTTTCTTGGTGGCCAAGTCTGATTCATCACTTTCCACTGGCTTATTGTTCTGCGAACAATCGGGAATTTCACCACGTACACTGAGACCTCCAGAACCTTTATCGTGGACAACCTTCTGTGCCCTGCGGCTGCCTTGAGTCGGTGTCTTCTGTTTTTTGGGTGGGATAGCTTTTTTCCCAATGTTCTTAGATGACTGATTTCTTGTCTTAGCAGGTTTTTGTCCACTGTTGTGATGCACTGATAATTCATTTCTTATTGAAGAATAATCACTATAAGCAGGACCTGAAGGATTCAATGACAACCTAAAATTATTATAACATTTGCTCAGATGATCCAGCCCCACAAAATTACCAGTATCATTTATATTTACACACACACATACACACACAATCTTACAAGCTAAGTCTATTTCAAAATTATTTAATCATTCTTTAATATCCATCTACCATTCTTCTTCGTAACTGCTTATCTTGCTTTATTTACTATCATCATGAAAAGGATAACTATTTAGATATGTAAATCAAAAATACGAGTCATCCACAACTCCTACCTGTACCCACAATTAATCCCTAAATCCTGTTCTACTTTCTTAATGCTTCTCAAATCTGCTTCTTTCAAGCTCTCTTGCCTGTCATTAGCAGACTTCCTCCATGTTGTGGGTTATTAAAACTGCCTCTTAACATCAGTTAAGATTTGAAAAGTAGAGAATGCTTCCTGGAGGAAGAATCAAGAGTGAGCTAAGTTTTTGAGTGGAATGAGGAGAATGGAATGTTTAAAGTAGAAGTACTATGTGCAAAGATCTGGAGCTTCATCTTTTTATTTAGCGAAGAGACTGCCTTCTCCAGCCTTGTTTCTTCACATTGCTTCAAGAATCTTCTTTGGAAAACAAAAATTCGATCACTACGATCCTGTTTAAAATCTTTTAGTGAGTATCTATAGCTTTAGATTAAATCCAAATACCTTCAAAATAAATGTATTTCTATTTTTAAAATTTGCTTATCTTATTAACTACAATTCTCAACACAACTCTCCAAACAAACCAAGGAAAGCCAGAAGTACTGACCCATTTGCAGTTTCTCTAAAGCATGGGTTCTCAAAAGGCAGTCCCTCATCCAGCAAGAACAGCACCATGTGGGAATCTGGTTCTGGCCCTCCCATCCAGATCTCTTCACATGCTATTTCTGCTCGTAACATTCCATCCTTCATCCTTAACCAACTCAGTCACTTAGCTAATTCTCAATTCACCCTTCTGAAAGCTTTGCCTAACTCTCAAGTCTTAGAGCAGCTCTGTCTCACCACTTCTGTAAGGTTTATTATACATCTGCTTATTTTAGCTCTATCCCTCTCCTCCAGCAAACTGATAATTCCTTGAGTTCAAGAAACTGAATGATTTTTACCTATCTTTATACTCCTGATGCTCAACAACAGGGACAGAACTACACAGGAGAAGAGAAGTCTCTGATGGAGAACCTAACAAAGTATTCACTTTCTGGCTGGCACAAGTACACAGCCTGAACAGACACAACCCTGAGACAGAATGCCTCCTTAAATTTTCAACTTTTGTGCCTCACGTGTACCACTGTACATTAACCGTGGTGCTGCCTTACACGATGCCTACCTCAGAACAAGAACTCAAAGCTTCATCTCTATAAAAGGGCATCATTGGCGCATGTGTACTACAGGCATCTTGAGGGCAAGTTATGTTGTTTTTTTGGACTCCAGACTTCAGATTCTTCTTCAGTAAACAAAGGAATTCAGACTACATGACAGTGTACTTTTCTGACTCCCAGCTTGATCAGAAGCCCCACACCTATCTCAGGACTACTACATATTCTTTTTGATAAGTTTCAGAGTTCTAGCACATTTATCCAAGCCACGTATGATTTTTCTTTAGTTGGTATGTGTTCATACACATATTACAGCATTTAAGGAAATGCAGAACAGAAAAGTGAGTTCCCAAAAGAAGTAACAGTAGTATTGACATTTCAGTATTAACTATATGCCACCTATTGGGTCAACTGCATTTAATTTGTATAAAAACTAAGTGAGGCAGAAGTATTAATCATATGTAGAGAGTTAACAAACGAACAAAATAACACACACAAAGTTGAAAGAGTCACAATTTGAACCTAGATATTATTTCAAATTCCAAAAAGGGCTTACTTGATGCTATCAATCAAGAATCCCAATGACTCAATAACTGTTATGATTTGGTAACTCACAAGAAGGCCTCAAAGAAGTAGAGCCATATTTGTACTAGACTCCCATTTGTTGATCTAAATTGCCCTCAGTCAGCAGTATTTTCATATGTAAACGTTATTTATTACCTACCAGGATCACCTCCTTTAAAAAAATTTTTTCCAAAATAATGAATGTTATACATTATACAATAGCCTAGCAGGTCTGAGAATACTATTTTTAGAAAGGACTACTTGAGGCCAGTGCTGTGGCATAGTGGGTAAAGCCACCATCTACAGTGCCAGCACCCATATGGGCAGAGGTTCAAGTCCCAGCTGCTCCATTTATAATCCAGCTCCCTGCTAATGTGTCTAGGAAAGCAGTATAAGATGTCCCAAGTCCTTGGGACCCTGTACCCATGTGGGAGACCTGGAAGAAGCTCCTGGTTTCCACATACATATACATTCAGTGAGTGGAGAATAAATTAAATTGAGTGCATTGGGACTGCACAGCACCTTTCAATTAATTGGGAACGTTTTTTGGAGAAGGAAGAAATTAGTCGAAGGATGGTAATCCGATGAACTCATTTTGCATTTCCCTGCTTTTTATGACAGCAGACTTGAGCAAACCCTGTATGAGTGAGACAGGCAGAACCAAACACTCAGGGAAAGGGCCCGTGCTGTGGTGTAGCAGGTAAAGCTGCCGCCTGAAGTGCTGGCATCCCATATGGGCACCAGTTCCAGCTGCTCCACTTCCGATCCAGCTCTCTGTTATGGCCTGGGAAAGCAGTACAAGATCGCTCAAGTCTTTGGGCCGCTGCACTCACGTGGGAGACCCTGAGGAGGCTCCTGGCCCCTAGCTTCGGATCGGCACAGCTCCAGCTGATGTGGCCAACTGGGGAGTGAACCAGCAGATGGAAAATCTCTCTCCCTCTCTCTCTCTGCCTCTTCTTCTCTCTCTGTTTAACTCTGACTTTCAAATAAATAAGCAAATCTTTAAATAAAAGAAAAAAGAAATGATGGTCCTAACTTCGTCTAGAGAGCTTTTTTAAAAAAAGGACTGCTTATAAAAGAAGCCCTTGGGTGGTATCTAGGAATTTGAATTCCCTATCACTTCCTAATAAGTATAGTTTATTGTGCCTAACTAAACCTGCAAGAAATATGATTCATATTGAATACTTTCCTTCAGGCAGCCTGAAATTTTAGTACTTACCATTCAAAGACCACCTCTAAACCAGGCCCAGCAAAAATCTTGGGTACTCAATCTTTGATAATCTTCCCTGATAGACAACACACATTGGTAACAACTCATTGATAGAGGAATTAAGCACATTCTATGCGAATCTACTGGGAAAGGACCCTTGGAAGCATGTGCTGATTTCTTCCAGACCCAGTAAATGTATTTTCTCTACTGACTTTGCTTTGTATCCTTTCCCTGTAACAAATCAAAGCTATAAGTACAACCACATGCCAAACCCTCCGGGCAAATCATGAGACCTGGGGATGGTCTTGGGAATCCCAAAACAAATTATTTTCCTATCGGTATATAATAAACTAAACTACAATCAACAAAATTATAAATCCTTTGATGGCAAGAACCTTATATTATAAAATGTTGAAGCCCTAATAGCCAAAATATTAAAATAGCAGGATTCTCACTCCCCTGACCAGAGCCACTGATTTCTACAGAGAAGGTGTCAAAAAACTTGCAGGATTTAAGCAAGACCCACATTGATACAGGTATTGTCAGTAGAATGCTTTTTCTTTAAGACCCAAAGTTTTCTCTGCATCCACACACATCTAGTCCCATTATGGCTTCCACGTGGTTTACTCCTCAGTTGTCACAGAAATCCATGCCTGACAGGATATTCCTCAGATCTTCTTCATAGGACATCCCCTAATCTGACTCTTTCAACTTTCCCTAAACTCTCCAAACCCCTCAAGTACATCACTGATTCTTAACCTTATATACACAACAGAATTACCTGGAGAGATTGAAAATAAACATCAACGTCTGGGCCTTTGTGGTCTCAATGTTTGTGTGCCCCTCCAGAACTCACATGCTAAAACCTAATCCCCAAGGTGATGGCAGTAAGAGGTGAGGCCTTTCAGGCATGTTAGTCATGCCTTCAGGAATGTGACCTGTGTCCTTTAAAAAGAAGCACGAGGGGTCTGTTTGCTCATTCCCCATAGAAGGTGTCATCCATGAAGGAGACAGCCTTCACCTGACATCAAATCTGTTATTTTCTTTAAAAAAAAAAAAAAAAGTGGGAGGAGGGTGTTAGAGATAGGGTTGTGGCATAGTGGGTTAAGCCACTGCCTGCAATGCTGGCATCCCATATGGACACCAGTTTGAGTCCCTGCCATTCCACTTCCAATCCAACTCCCTGCTAATGTGCCTGAGAAAGCAGCAGAGGATGGCCCAAGTGCTTGGACTCCAGATCAAACTCCTGGCTTTGGCCTAGCTTAGTCCTGGCTACTGCAGCCATTTGGGGAGTGAACCAGCAGATAGAAGATCTCACTCTTTCTCTCCTCCTCTAACTCTGCCTTTCAAGTAAATATATAAATCTCTACGAAAAAATAAATCTATTAGTGTTTTGATCTTTAACTTTCCTGCTTGGAAAATTGTGGTTAAAAAAATTTCTGCCCTAGCCTACGGTATTTTGTTATAGCAACCCATTTAGAACAAGACAGGATTCTACTCCACAGCAATTATATCAGAATGTCTGTGAGCAGTGCCAGGTATAGGTAGTTTTTTAAACCTCTCCAGCTTGAATTACTCACTCATTTTAAAATCTCACTCAAAATTTTAATACTGGTTTCTCAATCACTAACTTGAAAACATACTTGATGATATGAATATTCAAACTGCTAGCATCTTTTCTTGCTTCCCAACATAGCCTCTTACCCCTAAAGCTGCAGCTCAGAGCAATTACTGCACTACTTCCAAAAATTTATTTCCATTATCTCACTAACTACTGCTACCCTTTGATCCCCTCAAAGCTATCAACCCATTAGCTCTATCATCTTTTCTGTAATAATCACTCCTTCAACTGTCTCAGATCTTTCCCCTTTAGACTTATTTATTGGGCTATCTACTCAATATACCAAGTTTGATATTTAACATTTCAAAATTAACATATAAAATCTGAAATCTTGATATCTCCCCCAGCTATGCTTTTCTTACAACTTTCCTCACCTCAGTAAACAGCAGCTCTGTTCTTCTAAGTGCTCAAGCAAAAACCTGTGACCGATGCTGGACTCCTGCCTCTCTGATCCATCAGTACTTCCTTTGGTTTTTCATTATAATACATCCTGAACCTAATCATTCTCATCTCTTCCTTCCACCAATCTTCTAAAACTAAAACATACTTGCATTTTGCGCAGCCCTGGTTTTCTCTTTCCACAGCAGTAAAAGTGACCTTTAATTTTTGCGCAGCTTCTCAGCACACTTCATCTAAACTGCACCCCGGCTTGCCTGCCAGACTTCCTCTTCCCTGGCTCACTCTGCTCCAGCCAATGGCCTTCTTAACAAGCTTAGAAACACTAAGCTGGCTCCATCAAGACCTTGATACACACTGTTCCCTGAATTTATTCCTCGTTTCACTCCAAGTTATTTGTATGGCTCCTTCACTTTCTTCACATTTGAGCTACAAAAGGTAGTAGCAGCTATTCATGCTATTATAAAGATAGTATCCCACAACATCCTCCTATCCATTCCCATCCCGACCATCCACTTCCCATCTCTATCCTTTATCGGCTTTATTTTTCCTTATCAGCTGCATGAATTATTCATCGACATTTTCTCTATTAAAATGTGAGCTCCATCAGAGCACAGACTTTTAGTTGTGGGCTTTGTTTGTCCACAGCTGTATCCCTATACCTAGAGTATTGTATATTTTAGCATTTCAAGGAATTTCATTATAACTGATTTAATATTTCTACTGATTATATAATTTAGCTTCGTCCTCATGAAATTTCTCTGGATAATATAAGTCAAACACATAGCCCCTTACAGAGTGATTTTTTTTGGGTGATCTCAAAGAATGTCATTCAAAAAAAATACTTACTCTCCTGCGATTTTACCACCCACCAATCAGATGGACGCCTGGAAATTCTTCGACTTCGCAGGACAGTCACTTTCTCAGGTACAAGATTGTTCTTTGACTCACTAGGAGAGTGTTTCTTTATAGATTCTTGTTTATCTTGCTTTTTGGTGGATTTCTTTTGTTTGCTTCCTAAAATAAAGCAAGCCATAAAAACCAGAATTTTTAGAAAACCACAACAGATTTAAAACCAACAAAACCTTGAAATTCTCAATTACAGGGACTTCTTGAATTCATCCTGTGGGCTTCTTTACATGTCATTGTTTAAAAAGTCGTGTTGTATAAATAAGAGCTCTAACCTTCTGTAAATTAAATGTAAACTTTTCATTGTTTGATAATTTTCATATACTCCTGAACAACATCTTTTGGAAAGGAAAAAAAAATGTGGTTTCATCTACTATTTGCCAATATAACAAATTAAAATATATAATTAATACCTTTTTGTTTTGAAATCATTATTTTTTCAATCTAATTTTTGGAGGAGGAGATATAAAGTTATAAATCCTGAAATGAGGAGATTATACTGGGTTATTGAAGTTGGCTCACTCTAATTATAAATATCCTTAAAAGTTGTGGTCAAAGAATCAAGGGACAATGGAAGAAGCTGGAGAGATCTGGAATGTAAGTTGGCTGTGTATTGCTGACTTTGAAGCTGGAGAACCATGAAGTGGCTTGAAGAGGCAGGAAAATGCAAGGAAACAGATTGTGCCCCATAGCCACCAGTAAGACTTCTGACCCACAAAACTGTAAGACAATGTGTGCTGTTTTAAGCCACTAGGCGGTAGGAATTTGTTACAACAGAAAACTACTACATCTGGTATGGTAATTAATTACAGCATAGATTAAAAAAGTATATTTGAAAATTAGTGTATACAACATAGCAGAAACTCAATGTTTAATACTTAAAATCATGGAGAGTATCCTTTAAACACATCCTCCAAACAATGTCTTTTCCTAAGAACCTGTGGTTAAATCAAAATTGTATATACCTTCAAATTTTGTGAACTCATATTCTGCTTAAGGGATTAACTTTCTTCTAACTACCATTTTCAGTTTAGTCAGACTCTTTATTGTGTTTTCTTAAAAAGGACTACTGCTAAAGAGAAACTGAATAAGCAAAAAAAAAAAGGAATCTAATAAAAAGAATATGGGATACAGTAGACATTTACATAATAAGTCCTTAAAATAGAAAAAGTGGCTTTTTTTCTTCTATGTTAAGCAGAGTATTTTCAAATACACAAAGGCACATATAGACAAGACTAAAATCAGTCACCACTATTTCAGGCAACAGGTGAAGTCTATGTTATACATCATACCAAAAGAGCTAAAATATGTAATTCAATGATAGCTTAAAGTGGAATATGTTTTTATAAAAAGAAGCTTAAATATTTTGCTTTAATAGCCTTTCTCCCCTTTATATTAGCAATCCAGTGTGGTCATCTACAACCTCCAGGTACATACATATACAGGAGAGTTTTATGGTTAGTGGATGTTCCATTTGAGCAACAAAAACATTTTCACCGAATTCAAAACTTCTTAGTAGAACTGGAAGAACACAGGCTGTAGGGCAGGACAGATACTAAACCAATTTTTGAAAATCCACTTTGATGCTCTCAAAAGACGTAACATTCTTGGGTTCTTCTTCACAGTTAATTTTCTCAAAAGAATATATATAACTTGAGCCTCAGAAAGGTTTACTTTTATTGAATTAAAAAGTAATTTTTCTTGCCTTATTGTAAAAATAACACTTCTGGTGTTCTGTTGCACAGTAGGGTAACAACAGTTAACAATAACATATTTTATTTTTCTATATAGCTAAAGAAAGACTTTTGAATGTCCACACTACAAAGAAATTTTGAATATATGAAGCAATGGCTGCTAATCATTCTAATTTGATCATTAAAATCTATGTATGTATCAAAATATTACACTGTACCTCATAAATATCTACAATTATTTTGTCAATAAAAACAAATAATCTAATAAAATAAAAAGTATTTTAAAAATCCACTTTGAGTGTTATCTTCTAGAATTGAGATTATCTTTTTTTATCTTTTTTTTTTTTTTGGACAGGCAGAGTTAGACAGTGAGAGAGAAATAGACAGAGAGAAAGGTCTTCCTTCCATTGGTTCACTCCCCAAATGGCCGCCATGGCCGGCACTACACCGATCCGAAGCAAGAAGCCAGGTGCTTCTTCCTGGTCTCCCATGAGGGTGCAGGGGCCCAAGCACTTGGACCATCCTCCACCGCCCTACCAGGCCACAGCAAAGAGCTGGACTGGAAGAGGAGCAACCGGGACTAAAACCTGGCGCCCATATGGGATGCCGGCGCCGCAGGCGGAGGATTAACCAAGCGAGCCACGGCACTGGCCCCGAGATTATCTTGTATTATATTACTGCACACATAAGATGCCTAATACATTTGATAAGTGTTTTCTATTGTATTAGTTATTTTAAAAAGAATTTTACCTTTCTACTATCTAAAAAGTAAGATACATAACAGATTTTGACCTCTTTTATGACTGTATCTTCATTACAAATTTGAAATACTACACAATGGTGATATAAAAGTAGTCACATACCAAGATAGCTTGGGACAAGCTTAGTTTATGCTTATTATCCTGACATTCTCATTCTCAAGTGTCCTAATTTGGATGCTAAATTATATCCAAAATACTGAGGTAGAGGCCTTTGTCTTTTAAATAAACTTGTTTCTAGCTAACATGATTAAAGTTGTGGTAGAGGTTTCCCCAAAGTTAGACAGAAAAAAACAACTTACCCCAGAAATGGAATGTGGTCATTATCTGTTTGCTTATGAATGCTTCAACTGTAGTTACTATCTGCTTATATGTAACCATTTCAAGTTCTGCTTACTAGCACACGGCAATGGTATTAACCCTTGCCAGACAGCGAATGGCTCATTACGTGTGTAGAAAAAAAACACCATCAGTAACTATGTACACATGATTCCTGTGGCCACCATGTAACACTAGAATATCAATCAAATGGATGCATGTAGCTGTGTAAGGGAGACAAAGAGATTAAAACCATATATAAGAAAATACCCCTCTTTGTTTGGGGCTCAGGCTCTCAGTTAAGAAATTCTACCTGGGCCTTATGCTGGCATAAATAATAAAAGACTACTTCCTGTTAAAAGGCCTTGATGTCTCATCTCTGTATAGGAATCCCACTACAATATGAATTATAAAAGATACAACGACCTACTGAGATACTGGTTAGATAAGTTTTCTATGCCTCCATTTTCATTCTATACAGGCATGTGTATTTATCTGTTTGTCTACAGACCTCACCAGAATGATCTGATTAACAGTGCAAACTGTGTCTTAGTAACGTTTGGGCTTCAGTGCCTAATACAGCACTTTCCCTCAGTTTATATTCTAACAACCCTAAAAAATGTATGATTCTTTATTATTTGTGTTCTGATAACTAACTGCTCACTAGCCTTTCCCTTCACTTTCTGTCTATTAGCTGCTACTTTAGGAACTAAACAAAAACTGGAAATGAATTGCATTTAAAGATAGTCTAGAAAAGAGCCTATTAGGCCTCTGAGGCTCTTTGTAGATTTAGGTTTACTTGGACTACTTGCAAAGGCTAAAGGGATATTTAAAAACAAACAGTGGAAAATTGTTCACAGTTGTATTTAATGCAAACACTTACCAACAGATGGTACCATTTTGGAAATGTGATCATTTCTCATCTCTTCACAGTCTTTCATGTTTCTGCTTGAACTTCTTTGTAACTTGGGTGCAATATGTTTTTTATGTGCATTTATGTTTTCCTCTTTAGATTGTCCCATATGAAGCTGTTCTTCAACTACATTGGCCTTATATTTTTTTTTCTTTTTTTGTTTTACAGTCTTTTTATTTCCAGATGATTTTCCTTTATTCTTGGAATGTGTTTCACATTTTGTAGATCTAGAATTATTGTCCACTTCATCCGTCAAAGCACAACTCATACTTTGTTTTTTGTCATCACAGGGCAGAGATTTCTCTACTGGGTGAGATCCATCCAAATGGTTGTCATGTGTTGAAGTCGTAGGTGATATACTGTGATGTCTTTCTTTTGACTTCTTAACTTGAGGGACTGCAGTGCTCTCAGTGGGGGGTACTGAGCGTTGTTTCAGAGGCCCAACCTTTCTTGGTATGGATATCCAAGAATGACTGGCAAAACTTCTATTTGACTCATCAATTATAAATTCATCTTCTAACAATTTCGGATCATTTGGAGGCGACAAATGAGGTGAAGCAGTTGCTGTATGCCTAACAATGGGACTAAAACAGGATGTTGTTTCAACAGGTCAAATTAAAAAAATTTTAGTTTTGTTTTGCGAAGAAAATAAAATAGTGTATACAGGAAATAAAATTCACATGTCTTTTATTAAAGAACAGTTCACATGTCTCCCCAATTCCCTAAATATTATAAATATCTCCTACTTTTTCAGCTGTGTAAAATCTGATCCCCTCATTTATGATACTAACAGAAATCACAGAAACTTTTAATTGGAAAGAAATTTAGATGTCAACTAATTTGATACTCTCTCCCACCCAATGTATATACTAAAACACTGAAACTCAGATATGTATAATTATAACCCAGATACACTGACTCCTGATCCAAAAATGAATGCTACTACTATATATATCGTATTAAATTATGCTTTTATACATAGACATCTTTGCGGCCTGAATTTCTTCACATCCAAAAATAAAGGTGAAAAATTATTTCCAGAAAATTTTCAAGTCTAATATTTTAAGAAAATACTTCTAAATTATAAGAGAAAGGTGCCAGCACTGTGGCTTAACAGATAAAGCCACCACCTGCAGTGCCAGCATCCTGTATGGCCTCCAGTTCAAGTCCCAGCTTCTCCACTTCCAATCAAGCTCTCTGCTATGGCCTGGGAAAGCAGAAGATGGCACAAGTCCTCGGGCCCCTGCGCCCACAGTGAGAGACCCACAAGACGCTCCTGGCTCCTGACTTCAGAACAGCCTACTTCCGGCCACTGCAGCCATTTGGGGAGTGAAACAGCAGGTTGAAGACTTCTCTCTCTCTCTCTACCTCTGCCTCTCCGTAACTCTGCTTTGCAAATAAATAAATCTTAATACATAAATAAATAAATGAGATAGGGATGGCTTCTTTCTAATTTTTAATGTATATTTACAGGACCTCATACATATTATCATAGACATAGATGTTGAAAGAAGTAAAAACTGCAACTATTACTAAACTGCAATACATAAAAATTAATTCCAAATTTGAATATTTCACACCTGTTTTCACTTATATTTTAATATTATAATAGTGGTATAAAAATGGATATGTCTAGAAAAGTATTATAGATACAAAAGAAACCTAACACCCACAGAAACAGGGAAAAATACAAGACAACTCTTATTACAAAGCAGGCAATGTTACAGAATCTGTTATATAATGAGATGAAATAATTTTTCCCACTCTATTATCTCTTTTCACACTAATCCAAAATTTATTTTTACTAAGAGACAGAAAGCCCAGTGTTGCAAGGAGGATAATATTATTAGACAATTGGACAATCTTAACTATAACTTTTTTTAAAAAGGACTTATTTATTTATTTGAAAAAGTTACACAGAGAAAGAGAGGCAGAGAGAAAGAGGTCTTCCATCCACTGGTTCACTCCCCAGTTGGCCGCAATGGCCAGAGCTGCGCCAATCCAAAGCCAGGAGCTTGCTCCAGGTCTTCCCATGTGGGTGCCGGTACCCAAGGACTTGGGCCATCTTCTACCACTTTCTCAGGCCATAGCAGAAAACTGGATTGGAAGTGGAGCAGCCGGGACCTAAGCCAGCGCCCTCATGGGATGTGGGCACTGCAGGCGGTGGCTTCACCCACTACACCACAGCGCCAATCCCTTAACTATAACCTTATAGTTCATAATCTAACATTAATTCCCATTCCTAAACAAGCATAAAAGCATATATATACATATATATACACACACATACATATATACATTTAGTGAAGTGGAAAATAAATTAAAATGAGTGCATTGGGACTGCACAGCACCTTTCAATTAATTGGGAACGTTTTTTGGAGAAGGAAGAAATTAGTCAAAGGATGGTAATCCGATGAACTCATTTTGCATTTCCCTGCTTTTTATGACAGCAGACATGAGCAAACCCTGTATGAGTGAGACAGGCAGAACCAAACACTCAGGGAAAGGGCCCATGCTGTGGTGTAGCAGGTAAAGCCGCCACCTGTAGTGCTGACATCCCATAGGGGTGCCAGTTCGAGGACTTTGTAGCATTTAAGCTGGATCTTGAAGGACCAATAGGAATTGGTCATGACTTAATGTGAGAGACAATCAGAAGGAAGAACATAAGCAAAATGCCAGAAAGCACCAGCTAGAGTGAATAGCTACACTTGGCTACAACAATTAAATAAAATTAAGTTGAGTCACCAGCTTATCAAGAAAAACTGCAAGGGCTTTCAAAAAGTTCATGGGAGGGCCGGTGTTGTGGCATAGAGGTAAAGCTGCCACTTGCAGTGCCGGCATGCTATATGAGGCGCGGGTTCAAGTCCCAGCTGCTCTACTTCCAATCTAGCTCTCTGCTACGGCCTGGGAAAGCAGCAGAAGATAGATCAAGTCTAGGGGCCCCTGCATCCACGTTGGAGACCCAGAAGAACCTCCAGGTTCCTAGCTTCAGATTGGCCCAGTTCAGGCCATTGCAGTCATTTGGGGAATGCCCTAGTGGATAAGACCTCTCTCTCTCTGCATCTGCCTCTCTGTAACTCTGTTTTTCAAATAAACAAATAAATCTTTTTAAAAAAAAAGTTCATGGGAATATGTATTATGAAAAAACTATACATGGATTTCAAAATTTTTGCATCAAAATAAATACTTTCAATTACATTTTCCATGAGCTATACTTTCCACATATATGTAATTGAAAAAGCAACTATGAAAAAGAGATTTAACAAAAGAGGAAAGTTATTAATTCATTCAATATGTTTCTATAAAATTTCCTAATTCTGTTCACTAATACACTGACAAACACAAAGAAAACTAAACTACTGGGCAAGAGTTTACTTCTTAGTCAACTATGAAAGATACATAAAATAACAAATTATATGAGGCAAAAAAATTATTTAAACAACATCAAAGTGGAACTTGAAAAAACACAGAAACCTAGAATGTATCTTAAATTAAGAAAATGGTGACTGGCAAATGAAAAGGGAAAAAGGCGTGTCAAAGCAAAGATAATTGTAAATGTGTATGAGCTGGTATCTAGGGAGACTGAAGGCTCTAAATATCAGTCAGTAAACCTCAAGCTTATTCTATAGATCACTGACTTTCAATTCTTGTTACCACTAAATTCTATGGAAGTCTAACATGCAACCAGGGTGGAGAATCACTGCACAGATGTTGCACGGCCAATGGAGATTTTTTCAGTGGACAAGAACATACCAAATTTTAGAACTGGGGTCAGCACTGTGGCATAGTGGGTAAAGCTACCGCCAGCCAACACCAGCATGTCATGTGGGTACCAGTTAGTGTCCAGGCTGCTCCACTTCTGACCTAGCTCCCTGCCAATGGCCTGGGAAAAGCAACAGAAGATGGCCCAAGTGTTTGGGCCCCTGCCACCCACACAGAAGACCCAAATGAAGTTCCTGGCACCTGCCTGTCTCAGCCCTGACCATGGCAGCCATATGGGAGTGAATCTGTGGATGGAAGTTTTCTGTCTCTCCCTCTCTCTGTAACTCTGACTTTCAAATAAATAAATAAATAAATTTTAAAAATTATTTAAGACTATCTTTTTAGTGGTACAATCATAAGTAAATAGAAAAAAAAAACAGATTTAAAATCTACAAAAGCAAAATACAGGTATCCTGACATAACTGTGTTTCTAATTACTGCCTTAATTCTTTAAAATCACACGACAGCACTGATTAACAGTAACAACAAGACCTGAATAAACTCATTTTCTTTTCTATCTAACTTACTATCTGTTAAAAGGTGGTTTGGGGGTTGTTTTACTAATAAGAAACTATTCTTTAAAGATGAGGCAAAATTTCAATTAAAATTTGTGTCAATGAAGAGACTTATAATTAAGTTAAATGAAATTAAGAATCCTTGGATATGGCCCAGAGAATAGAAAAGAAAAAATATCTCAAAGCAGTTTCTCAATAACTCACCTTGATTCACTTTTTCTTGTTACAGTTTCTAAAAACAAGGTTGAAAACCTCTTTGTAGCTTGTGGTTGAATTTCAAGTTCCAAACTTTGTATTCTTTTCTGAGACGTTTCTGATTGTTTCCTTTCTTGTCTTTCTGATATTTTATCCTCAACTTCAGATACTTCATTCTCTATTTCTATGTTCTTCAAAATATCTTTATCTTCAAAGTTTAACCTAAAAGGTTAAAAGACAGGCTATAGACTCCCCTACAGTTTGCAGAGTAATCAACATCCCTTAACTACCTTAATAGTGACCCTCGACACTGAGCTTTGACTTAAAATTTATAAATACCAATTTGTAAATTCTTACACAGAATACAGTAGGTAAATTGCTCAGGAAAATTAATTATGTATCAACAGAAACAAAGGAAAGAAAAAAGCGGTTAAATTATACACCAAGCAAATGGGTAGCTTACAGCACTGGTTCTCAGAATGCTCTGTGAACACTGTGGCAGCTCGTACAGCTAAGTCTTAGGATATACTTAACCCATTAGCTGCAGGAATACACAGGACTCTGGGCTGTACTCATTGTAGAGATTTCCAATAACAAAAGAAATTGAACAAGCTACTTTGTTTCAAACGCCAAAGAAATGGAATTGGGTTTAGTCTAACTCATCCTCAATAATACAAGAGATCTGACATATACCTGTGGGGAGCAACTCGGACTAGACTAAGTTACTGGAATTAAGACTTATTCTATGCATCTGCTCTCCCACAATATGGCGCTGGGAGAGGAGTAAACAACTTTTACACAGCTGCCTCCAGTTCGACCAGTAACCTGCAGGAGCTGATCCTGCTCCTGATTGGAGGAGAGCAGCGTACTCGGCGTGTGGGTAGCAGAGTTGGGATTGGTGGAAGAGGACTATAAAAGAAGAGAGAGACAACATGCACCAGGAACATCTAAGCAGCCCCCGAGAGAGCCGGCCGGCGGTGTGCCGCTCCCCCGCGGAAGTGGGGAAAGTGGCAGGGGGAACCGCCCTTCCATGGAGGTGGAAGGGTCGGCAGCCAACCCGGGAGGGACCAGCAGCAAACCCGGGGAGGGCCGAGCAGACAAAAGAACAGCGCAGGGTCCTGTGTCGTTCCTCCGCGAAGAGGGGGAGCGACATATACCTACCCTTGCAATTACAAATAAGAGAATAAACAAGTGGGCCAGCATTGCACAGCCTCTGCCTGTGATGTTGGATCCCATATCAGAGCACCCGTTTGAGTCCTGGTTGCTTCACTTCCAATTCAGCTCCCTGCTAATGTGCCTGAAAAAAGCAGCAGCAGATGGCCCAAGTACTTTGGTCCCTGTCACCCATGTGGGAGACTCAGTAGAGTTCCTAGCTCCTGGCTTCGGTCTGGCCCAATCCTGACCATCACAGCCATTTGGGGAGTGAACCAACAAATGGAGGTTCTCTTTTTCCCTGTATCTGCCTCTCTCTGTTACTCTGCCTTTCAAATAAAAATATTAAAAAAAGAGAGAATATACAAGTGTTTCTTATAGGAAGTTGCAGATAACTTACTATCAGAAAGAAAACATATTTTAAAGATTTGTTTATTTCATTTGAAAGGCAGAGTTACAGAGACAGAGGGGGAGAGAGAGAGAAAGAGATGACAGAGAGATCTTCCATCTGCATTCACTCCTCAAATAACCGCAACAGCCAGAGCCATGCCAGGCCGAAATCAGGAGCAAGGAGCTTCTTCCAGATTTCCCAAGTGGGTAGAGGGGGCCAAGGACTTGGCCATCCTCCACTGCTTTCCCAGGCACATTAATAGGGAGCCAGATCAACAGTGGAACAGCTGGGACTTGAATCAGTGCCCATTGAGATGCCAGTCACAGACTGTGGCTTTACCTGCTATGCCACAGTGCTGGCCCCACAAGTGATATTGTTCAATTTAAAAATTACCTTTTTTTGGTTTTCAAAGAAATCTCTGTACTTGAAGACAGCATATTTTCTGAATTTTCAAAAATATATGTCTCCCTCTTTTGGGCAACAGATGGAATAGCATTTTGTGATGTAGATGTTTTTGCACTCAAAACAACAGAAGGCGAGCCAACAGATAAGTAAAATTCTTCATCAGATTCACTCTCATAATCATCTAGTTTTCTACTGGATATTTTTTTCGAGTCCGGTGTATTTCGAGAACCAACATCAGTTGCCAGACTTTTCTGATGAACTTCATAAGCCTGAACTAGAAGAAAATTATATGAAAATTCTTGTAATTAAAAAACAGCATTAGAGTCAAATGCACTTCTCAAATTTCAGGATTAATTTAACTAGAAATACTTCACAGAAGACTAATAGGTCACTGGGTTTAGAATCAGGGCTCTATGATTAAAGTATATAAACAGTTTAGAAGTGTTATTTTATGGAATTTATGAACTGAAACATATTTTTGGTCCATACTATTTTTTTTTTTTTTGACAGGCAGAGTGGACAGTGAGAGAGAGAGACAGAGAGAAAGGTCTTCCTTTGCCGTTGGTTCACCCTCCAATGGCCGCCACGGCTGGTGCGCTGCGGCCGGCGCACCGCACTGATCTGATGGCAGGAGCCAGGTGCTTCTCCTGGTCTCCCATGGGGTGCAGGGCCCAAGCACTTGGGCCATCCTCCACTGCACTCCCTGGCCACAGCAGAGAGCTGGACTGGAAGCGGGGTAACCAGAACAGAATCCGGTGCTGCGACCGGAACTAGAACCCGGTGTGCCGGCGCCGCTAGGTGGAGGATTAGCCTAGTGAGCCACGGCGCCGGCCGGTCCATACTATTTTAAGTTTTAAAATAAATCCTCAAACATGGAAAATCTGCAAGTTTACAGTCTTGAGATGTGACTAAATCTATCTACAGCTAAAATAATGAAGTAACCTAAAGAAATCAAGAGATGCTTTTAAGAGTTGTTAAGCTAAGATGGCTAGATGAGCATATATTTGTCACACATAAAGATAAAACAGGCACAGATAAATATGTGTAACAACACATATATATATGTATATGTAATATATATGCACATATACACATCCAAATATTTATACAAACAGAATATATATTTTTTATATATATTCTTTAACCCTCAACCTTCAAAAATCAAAGAAAAAGAATGGTTGGGTAATATTTCTACTAATTCCTTTTTTATTTTAATTGTTATTTATTTATTTATTTATTGACAGGCAGATTTAGACAGTGAGAGAGAGAGAGAGAGACAGAGAGAAAGGCCTTCCTTTCCGTTGGTTCACCCCCCTAAATGCCCACTACAGTTGGCGCGCTGCGCCGTTCTGAAGCCAGGAGCCAGGTGCTTCCTCCTGGTCTCCCATGCAGGTACAGGGCCCAAGCACTTGGGCCATCTTCCACTGCCTTCCCGGGCCACAGCAGAGAGCTGGACTGGAAGAGGAGCAACCAGGACAGGATCCAGCTCCCCGACCGGGACTAGAACCCAGGGTGCCAGCACCGCAGGCGGAGAATTAGCCTAGTGAGCCGTGGCACCGGCCCTACTAATTCCCTTTTTAAAAAGCATGACTAAGTATTTTAAAATACATCCAAAAGGGCTTGGATGTAAACCCAAAAGGTTTTAGAATGTGATAGTATTTCCTAGCTTTTCTCTCTAAATACAACAAAATTTCTTGAAAATTATCCATCAGTAACCACAGAAGAATTCTGCAAACTGGAAGGAAGAAAGTGAACAAATTAGAAATCTCAAGACTTAAAGAACAACAATGTGAGTCTCTCCTATATACTCCCATTGTGGGCACTGGAGAGGCCTACAGTTTGGATCCACCAATAGGCAAAAGGTGAACAAGGGAAACCCAACAAAGTTCAAAACTGTAGAACCTTATCCCCAACTCTACAACATGGGCTACAGGGCACTGTAGTGACAGAGCAACAGAACCCTGGACAGTACCTTGGGACAGCAATAGTAGATGAGCAAAGCCACAGAGCAACCCAGTCCCCGCTCCACCAAGAAGAGATGGCAGGTGCTATAGCCAAGGGATCACAGGCTAAAGGAGATAATTCCTACAGGTAGTACTGGTATCCCAGGCCATCCCAGTTCCCACTCCACAGCCAGAGCACCAGTGGACAGTCTATAATCTGAAGCAAGAATAGCTTAAGAGAATCCAGCATTCCCTGTCCTCCACGTAGTGATAGAAGGAATCCTAGGCCCACCAGCTTCTGACCAGAATTTCCCATGGGTAAGCAAGCATATCAGGAGGCTCAGAAAAACACCTGTACCCACCCGAGACCGCTCTGACAGGAACTGAGCTAGAATCCTAGTGGCATCAGAAAACAAGCAGACCAAAATACCACTGCTACGAAAAAAACATGTGTCACAGAGGCAGGGCAGAACCTATGTTAGCCAAAATAGGGAAATTATGTGTTATAACGAAAGTGACTGAAAAATGATCAAGAATCTCCTAACACAATAATCAAAATATTCAGTATACAACCAAAATGACTCCTCATGCCAAAATACGCATTTCAAACAAGAAAGTAAGATCAATAGACACAAACCAACAAAAATCAATCAGATGTTGGAATTATTTAGTAACACTTTAAGACAGACATCATAAAATGCTTTAAGAATTAATTATAAGTTCTCTTGTAAGAAATGAAAAAGAAGCTCTCAAAGAAACAGGAGTATATAAAACAAGAAAACAGAGAAACAGGAATATGATATTGAACAAATCAATTCCATAATGAGTTAGCACTTCACACTCATTAGGATAGCTATTGTAAAAAAAATAATAATAATAATAACAACTGTGCATGATGGATAGACCATAAAATGATACTATAAAAATAGTGTGGATGGGGCCACTGCCTGTGGTGCCGGCATCCCATACGGGCACTAGTTCAAGTCCCAGCTGCTCCACTTTCAATCCAGCTCCCTTCTAATGTGCCTGGAAAAGCAACAGAAGATGGCCTAAGTGCTTGGGGCCCTGCACTCACGTGGGAGACCCAGAAGAAGCTCCTGGCTCCTGCCTTCAGATCAGCCTAGCTCCGGCCATTGCGGCCATTAGGGTAGTGAACCAGCAGATGGAAGATTTCTCTCTCTCCGTCTATCCCTCTCTCTCTATAACTATACCTTTCAAATAAATTAATTAAAATAAATTAAAAAAATATATTATGGTGGAACTTAAAACTCAAAATAGACTTACCATATGATCCAGCAATTCATGTTTCAAGTATTGAACTAAAAAATGGGACTCAAAGACACACTTCTACACCAATATTTAGAGCAGCATTATTCACAACAAAAAGGTAGAAACAACCAAGTACTCCTTAAAAGATGAATGAATGCAGGGCTGGCGCTGTGGCATAGTGGGTAAAGACGCCGCCTGCAGTGCCAGCATCCCATATGAGTGCTGGTTTGAGTCCCAGCTGCTCTACTTCTGATCTAGTTCTCTGCTATGGCCTGGGAAAGTAGTGGAGGATGGTCCAAGTCCTTGGGCCCCTGCACCCGAGACTGGGAAGAAGCTCCTGGCTCCTGGCTTTGGATCAGCGCAACTCTGGCTACTGCAGCCATCTGGAGAGTGAACCAGCAGATGGAAGACCTCCCTCTCCCTCTCCCTCTCCCTCTCTCTGCCTCTCCGTAACTCTGTTTTTTAAATAAATAAATTTTTTTTTAAAAAAGTATATTTGAGTTTCTTAAAAAAACATTAATTGAACCAATAAAAATATATAATGCTAGTTTATAAAATAAAAGGTACTCTCTTACATTGCTAATGTGAAAGAAAATGTTAACAGCCACACACAGACACAGATTCACCCACATACATGCTTATTTTTTTCACTTATGAACACCAACACAGGTATGGAAGGATTTGAAGGTTAACTCAGCAGATTGATGGGAGTAATAATTATTTTTCTTTTAAATATTTCAATCTGTTATCACATATGGAGTGGTAATCTTTTTAACTTGAAAAATGGAAGCAAACTTTAAAAAGCAGCAGCACGTATCACTTACTAAAGGAAACATAGCAAAAGAAAAATGCACTGATCACAGACTTGAAAATCAAAGGAATTCTACCTATTACTCAATTTTTCCTATATTGACTCCGATGTTGCATTGCATTTGGCATTTCTTTTTAATGATTTTCTTTATTCGTTTGTGTGAAAGGGAGAAAAACAGAGACAGAGAAGACAGAGAGAGATGTTCCATTGCTGGTTCACTCCCAAATGCCTACAGGTCAGAGCCAAGAACCCAAAACTCCACATAGGTCTCCCATGTAGGTAGCAGGATCCAAGTACTTGAACCATCACCTGCTGCCTCCCAGTGTGCACATCAGCAGGAAGCTGGAATTGGACACAGAGCCTGGACTCAAACCCAGAAACTTCCACATGGGAGGCAGGTATCCCAAGCAGTGTTTTAGTTGCTGTGCCAAATGCCTGCCCCACCTTTGGCATTTCTTTTTTTTTTTTTTAATATTTATTTATTTGAAAAGTCAGAGTTAGAGACAGAGACAGAGACAGATCTTCCAGTCCACTGGTTCACTGCTCAGATAGCTGGAATGGCCAGGGCTGGGCCAGGCCGAAGCTTCTTCCCAGTCTCCCATGTGGGTAACAGGGGCTCAGGCATTTGGGCCACCTTTCACTGCTTTTCCCAGGCTTATTACCAGGGAGCTAGATCAGAAGTAGAACAGCCAGGACACAAAGTGGTGCCCAAATTGAACGCCAGTGTTGCAGGAGGTAGTGTTACACACTTACAAAACCACCCCCCACCTTTGGAATTTCTAACTTCTGAAATATATTTAGGCAAGTCACACCCACGGGGATGCCACCAACCTGATCTGTTGGAAGTTTTACTTGGTTCCTCAAAGCATGGCAAAAAGTCTTCTTTCTTCTTTGAAGAAACTGGAACTGATTTTGGACATGATTTTTGAATCTGAGCATAGAAGAAATACAACATTAGATCTACTTTCACTAAATTACCAATTCTGATGAAACACACTTGCTTTTAAAATAGAAAAAAAAGAAGTGTTTAAAAAGAATAAACCAGCTGGTAGAGTTGTATATTCAAGTAACTTCTGACAGGAGACTGAATAAATTATGATAGAGTCATATAACACATATAACAGTCAAACTAAACCACAGTAGCATGAATAAACAACTACATTAACCAAACACTAGCGCGTTGCAGAATTACATAATAAAACCACTGATGTGAAGCTCAAAATAGATGCAAGGACAGGTCAATCTGATCTTTAGAGATTCTCTATATAGAAGGGTAATATAGCAGACCTGCTCATTTAAAGAGCCAGCTTACAGGACCAGACCTTGGTTGACACATCTGCTGACGTGGCTTTTAGAATGTGCAGACAGAAGAAGAAAAACAGGTTCAGAAAAGGGCACACACCAATCTTCAGAGGTATTTGTATTTCTCCACTGAGTGACAGGTACACGAGTGTTCACAAGTGTAAGGTAATATTTTTTAACTTTATGTGCATTATATCTGTAAATTTGTCATGTTTCAAGCCATAAATTTAATATTTAATCATTTCATCTCAAATATGCATATTCTAGGGATTCAGTTTATAAAATGTACAAAGAAAAGCATGAACAAACATGTTCACTGCATCACTATGACGATAAATGTATAGAAACCTAAAAAACTACCAATAGGAGAATGAATAATGGAGCCACTTCCCTGTTGTTCAGTAGACACACTTTGGTACTCAATTCCACAAAACAAAACAAAAGCAGGCTTTCACTTAATCTGTGCTTCCTCTCGAAACCTCATTAAGGGGTCTTAATAATTTATAAACCCTGAAGAAGAGAAAGAAAGGAAGTAGACGGATGTCAACAAATTCCAAAAGCAGATTAGTAGTAACTAATCAGCTCAAGACCGGAAACATGCAGACAATGAAGAAAGCCCAGAAGCACAGACTATGTTTATGGAGAAACTCATAAAGACCAGTAATTGAAGATACAAGTTGTCTCTAAAAGAAGGGGTGCCTGCGGGCCTGCCAACAGAAGGGTTATTACAAGCATAGGTAGAAAGTGGTGAAATCAAAGAGCCCATAACCTCAAATTACATGTTTACTATCTTGAGTTTCAGCATCAGAGATAATGTGAATTCAGCACCAAGTGAGAGTAAAGGTAATGCAGTGAGAACAGATATTAAGTGGGAGCACCCATACTGCACCTTCCCTGTTGCCCTACCAGGCTGAGAACACTTACAGTGAGAATCAAGACCCACTTCTCTCCACCCCAGTCAAGACAGATGTCTTTGTCAGAAAAACTTCCCAGGCCGGGAGACGAAAAAAATCTACAGATACTAACACCTAGACATTCACAATTAAATGGCCCAGATTTATTACATCGCAGGAAATTCATCAAACTACAAATTTTACCATGGAAATAGAACTTCCACCCCTAAATAGGAAAATGTAGCTAAATATTAATAGACACTTGACAAAAGGTAAAATGTGAAGTAAACAAAAATGGTACTGATAGGAATAGAAACTGGAAGAACAAATCTTAATAAAAAGAGAGGAACCTAAGAGAAATGAATATATTGAAATCACAGATCACTCAAGACAAAAGTCAAGATACTAAAAGCTTGCAAAGAGGAAAAAATAGTCACTCATAAATAAAAAATCAAGGCATCAACACAGCATTTTCAATGACAGAGAAAGTAAAACAAAGTAAGGCAATGTCTTAAAAAGTCTATGAGGCATAGTGTTTGGCCTCTCAGTCAAGACACCAGATGGGATACCTGCATCCCACATCATGGTGCCCGGGTTCAAGTCCCAGCTCTACTCCTACTAATGTACACCCTGGAAAGCAGCAGCTAATAGCTCAACTAGTTGGGTCCCTGTCACCCATACGGAATACCTAGATTGGGTTCCAGGCTTCTGGTTCCAGGCTTTGGACTGGCCCTGTCCAACATGGGCACTTGGAGAATGAACCAGACAATGGAAGATTTCTGAGTATCTCTAATTATCTTTCCACCTCTCAAATAAGTTATTTTTCAAAACTTTTTGAGAAAATAATTTCTAACTTAGAATTCTGTACCCACCCAAATTATCCATCAAGAGGGTAAAATCAAGGTATTTTCATACTTGTAAGGTTTTAATTCTCAGGAATCTAAAGAAGAGACCAAGAAAAAGGAATACTTATGATTCAAGAAGTATAACGTGCAATTCACAAAAGCAAAAAGATTTTGTAGATCACATAGTATTATCTCTGTGACAAGCCTTAAAGTAGACAGATGAAGAAAAAAAATAATCTAAGAAAGGTATCTCCAGAAAAAAAAACTGAAAATGATTAATTACTTGAAGTATCTGCTTATACTTAGAAGACATTTATGGAGCCGGCACCATGACACAGTAGGTTAATCCTCTGCCTGCGGCGCCAGCATCCCATGTGAGCACCGGTTCTAGTACCGGCTGTTCCTCTTCCAATCCAGCTCTCTGCTATGGCCTGGGAAAGCAATAGAGGATGGCTTCAGATCCACACAGCTCTGGCCGTTGCAGCCATTTGGGGAGTGAACCAACAGAAGGAAGACCTTTCTCTCTGTCTCTCCCTCTCACTCTGTAACTCTACCTCTCAAATAAATAAAAGATCTTTAAAAACAAAAAAAGAAGACAATTATACTTTTGTCACAGATACTCATAATGAATCAGTCACAGGTGCTCAGAAGGTCAAAAAATGGAAAAACCAAGAAAATTAAATCAAGAAAAAAACAGCTATAAAAATAATTATAAACAAAAAATAACTACATGAAGAAAATTTAGCCTCTAGTATTCTACAGTGTATACTTAGTCTTAATAGTTTAAAAAATAAATACTGTCTTACCAAAATTATAGCATAAAGTGCTAAAAAGTAGAAGTGCATATGTTCTGGTAGAAAGCAAGAGTGTAATGACAAACACAGCTTAAACTTCCATAAACAATAATGGTATAAATACTAGAGGCAAAATATCTAGAAGAAATAGCTAAGAGTCAAGAAATCAGAACTGGAGAGTATCTAGTGTTTATATCCTAATATGATTTGAGCAACTATGTAAATATCTATACAGATAATGCCATTGATCTTGAGAATTAAAAAGAAAAATTTGCAAAATGATGGGAAAGAGAATAAAATAGTAGAATCAGTAGATTAATTTTTTTGAAAATGCTAATGATGAAGTATGACCTCTGACAAAAAAATTGTGTAAATGAGCAATATATTGAAAAAAAGAAAGAAACCTATTACATACTATCCAGAAGAGGAACCTCTAGCATAATCCTCAAAGCCCTACAGAACATTTTAAGAAAAAAAATACTCATGAACACATATGGAAATACATAAATATATATTAGCAAATCTGATCAGAAGATCTGATTTATGGTCAAGTCAGTTCATACCAAGAAACATAAAGTTGACTTTATAAAAAATCCATGTAATTTGTCACACTACCAAAGGCCTTTTAATTCTGAAAAAAAAAACAGCTATGTCTTCATTCCTTGGAATCAAACACTATATGTTTAAAATGTTGATTATTTATAAGTTTTTAGTAAATGTTACTTCTAGGACCACATAATTTTTCTGATTAGTACTGTGTTTTTGAATAATCTATCTTGGATGATTAGCTTTAAAAACTGTAAATAAATATGTATAGTTGTCATGCTATCCTCTTAAGACATAATCAACAAAAGATTAATTTCGCTGGATAGCAACAGAATGCCTGCAATTTTCAAAAAATAATCAGATTTGTAAATCTGTTCTGGAACTTCAATAATTGCTCACTTTTCTAAAAACAAAATTAGATATTATTTTAGGAGAAATGATCAAATGATTTTTATAATTCCTAGACTCTCAATTTCAAACACAAAATGTATCAAATCATAATTTGTAAATACTGTCTCAAATTTTATAGAAAATGAATAGGATTACAGAATTTCCTTTCAGATTTACAAACTAAAATGTTCATAGTATATTAACCACTTCTTTCATTAAATTATTATACCAGTTCTTCTTTTGGACTTACCTCTTTGCCTGGTGACTGAAAACAACTGTCTTTTACTTTGGGTGTTGAACAAAGCACTGATTTTGTAGAATTTGTGCTAAAGTCATTAGCAAGACCTAGAAGAAATTTATGAAACATAGTATAATATCTATTGGCTTTCATTAAAAGTAGTTCTATATGACACTTGAAAAAGTGGCTGTTGCCTCTTTAAACACAATTAGCTTAAATAAAGTACAATACTCAACTATTCAAATGCTCCTGAAAGGTATCAAAAACTGAGAAAGGCAAACAAGACTCCTCAAGAAGTATGTGCCAGCTCTTTGCTCAGAGCTTGTACAAAGAGGTATCTTTCCACTAACAATGGGCAATTTACAAAGAACAGAAATTTGTACCTTAAAATCGTGAAGGCTGGTAAGTCATGGAGATTTAACTGGTGAGGCAGCAGGCAGAAGGGCAAGACAGCATGCCAGAGATCAAGATTAAATTACTAACCTCAAGCCTTTTGTAATCAGCATTCATTCATTCATGACGGTACAGCTCTCACAATCTAATCACCTGTCAAAGGTCTCACCTCTTAACACAGCTGCATTAGGGATTAAGGGTCCCAACATGTTTTCGAGACTAACTCAAACCATAATATCTACCATCTATCCTTATTTCTTATGGTTTGCCTATTCTTACTCCAATACTTTCTGATGCTCACTTGAAAAGTTTTTGCTATAATTCATAACTTCCTTAGAATGGGATGTAAATCACCAGATATGGGGATGAAAATTGTCATTTTTGTCAACATTATCCTAAGTATATCAGGAATACATGAGGGATTGCATATGTACTCAAAATTCTGAATATATATTTAAATGCTAGAAACATGTTTGCTACATTTATTAGGACAAATTTATATTTTTATCCATTGCAACTGTCAGAATTTCATCTAGAAATAAAACCTTACTTCTTTCTTCAAAACAGTCTTGTAAGAATTCCAACATGTTCTGGCCTTGTTCTTTATTAATATTACGTGCCCTAATAAGACACAAAAAAGAGACAATGTAACATATTATTTCTAGAACATACTTGTTATTTGTTATTATTTAATTGAAAATTCTTATCATTATTATAAAACTGTTAATAGGAAAATATTTCTACTATTTGAAGATAAAACAAGTACTTGAGGGTATGTCATTATCTACATAAACAATTATATTCCTTAGTTAAACATTCATGTCTAAAGCTGTTTTAGACTACTACTGTATGTCAACAAGCACATAAATGTTTTTGAATGAATCCAATCAGTCCTTCAAAGACTTTACAGTCACAAGTACCAACATTTTCATATTCCTCCCTACAAGTTCCCAACTGTTCCTTTAATTCAATATATCTTACCAGTTCATGAACCAGTACAAATTTTTAAATTACAAATTATGTTGAGGGGCAGGCTTTGTGACTTAGTGTGTTAAGCTGCCGCTTGCAATGCTGGCATCCCATGAGCACTGGGTTGAATCCTAGCTGCTTCACTTCCCATCCAGCTCCCTGATAATGCACCTGGGAAAGCAGTGGAAGATGGCCCAAGTATCTGGGACTCTGCCACCCACGCACAAGGGAGATCTGGATGGAGTTCCTGGCTCCTGGCTTTGTACAAACACACATAATTGGTCCAAATAAATTTAATCAGATTTTCTAGGGTGATTCAGATGAGTCTCATGTGCAAATCTGGTTAATAACCACTAATGAATCATATTCCCTTACTTTGCAAATAGGAAAACTGAAATCCAGTTAGATCAAATGACTTGCCAAAGTTTGAAAACCTTATTACTATTAATAAAAGAGCTTGTAATAGCATATAGGTCACTGCTGAAAATTCTGGCCTTGAAACTACGCTAGAATACCATATATAATAGATATACACTGTACAACTACAAATAAAGGCAGGCTATCCCCTATTTCACAGATGAAACCAACACAGATCAGATGACTTGCTAAAGAATATAATGCAGTCACTATCAGAACACAGGTCACCAATACATAGTCTGCATGTAGTGTCAGATAGGAAGTTCAGCTGAAACAGTGTGGATACAAATTTTTGGCAGTCAAGTGACTGAATACAGGAGAGAAAGTCATTTATAGTCACCAAATCCTATAGCTTTTTCAAAATTTTTCCAATGGTCTGACATTGGGGTACAGCAGGTTAAGTCACTGTTTTTGAAGCCAGCACCCCATATCAGAATGCCAGTATGAGTCCCAGCCACTCCACTTCCAATCCTGATCTCTGCTAATGTACCCGGGAAAGCAGTGGATGATGGCCTAAGTACTTAAGCCCCTGCCACCCACACGGGAGACCTGAATGGTGTCCCAGTCTTCTGGTTCCAGCCTGGCCAGGTCCTGGACATTGCAGCCATTTGGGGGAGTGAACCACCAGAAAAATCTCCCTCTCTTGGTCTTCCAAATAAGTAAATAAGCAAACAAATCTTTTTTTTTTAAGATTTATTTATTTGAGAGAGTTATAGACAGAGAGAGGGAGACACAGGTCTTCCATCCACTGGTTTACTCCCAAATGGCTACAATGGCCAGAGCTGGGTTGAGCCAAAGCCAGGAGCCAGGAGCTTCTTTAGGGTCTCTCACATCGGTGCAGGGGCCCAAGCACTTGGGTCAGCTTCCACTGCTTTCCCAGGCCATTAGCAGGGAGCTGGATCAGAAGTGGAACAGACAGACTCAAACCAGCGCCCATGCCAGAGCCACAGGCAGAGGCTTAACCCACTATGCCACTGCATCAGCCCCAATAAAGAAATCTTTTTCCTCTAATTCACTTCTTCCTCCCCCTTTTCCTTACTACCTTAATGTAAAAGCACCCTCACTATACCTAGATTACTACAACCCCTGCATTAAGCTACCCTACAAATATCAATCTATGCTTCGTTTTGTTAAACTGTGTGTGTTTTTACACATAGTAGGCAAAGGGGATTTAAAACAGCTGATTCAAGCCTTTAATAGATGACTAAAGCCTAACATACCCATTTTCTGGATCTACGCCATTCATAACCTCTGTTCTCCACTTGTACCCTCTGAAATTAGGTCTGTCTGACAAACCATTATATGTGTGTGTGTGTGTATATAAATATATATATAAATAAAGGGGGGCTGGCGCTGTGGTGCAGCGGGTTAACACCCTGGCCTGAAGCGCTGGCATCCCATATGGGTGCCGGTTCAAGTTCCAGCTGCTCTGCTTCCGATCCAGCTCTCTCCTATGGCCTGGGAAAGCAGTAGAAGATGCCCTAAGTCCTTGGGCCTCTGCACCCGCACAGGAGACCTGGAAGAAGTTCCTGGCTCCTGGCTTCGGATCGGTGCAGTTCCGGCCACTGCAGCCAATTGGGGAGTGAACAATTGGATGCAAGACCACCCCTCCCCTCTGCCTCTCCTCTCTCTGTGTAACTGTGACTTTAAAATAAATAAATAAATCTTTAAAAAAATTAAATAAGTAAACAAAGGAACTCTGGTTCCTTTGTTTATAACACTTTCTGTGTCTGGAATGTACTTTACCTTATTCTTTACCTATCTAGTCAATATTCACATAGGTTATGTTACAACTTTTAAAGCTTTTCTTAATAACAATATCCCAGTCCCTTCCTAATGTCTTTCTTGGCTACCTATATGCAAATTAATGCCTAATTATATATAGGCCTACTCTCTATGATGTGCAAGATAGGCCTCTGTTATTATATTATTACAAATAATACTTTTGTTCATTAAATTATTTTGCAAATGTACATATACATTCCCATAGGAATGTAAGCTCCTTATAGGAAAACAAAAAAACATATTTCTATGCTCCACTAGCTCTAGCAAAATCAAGGCTCAATGAACATTCGGTTTTTGTTAATAACATCTTCACTTTAAAAAGCATGCTGTTTGAGGCCAGCACCGTGGCTCACTTGGTTAATCCTCCTCCTGCAGTGCCAGCATCCCATATGGGCGTCAGTTCTAGTCCCGGTTGCTGCTCTTCCAGTCCAGCTCTCTGCTGTGGCCCAGGAGGGCAGTGGAGAATGGCCCAAGTGCTTGGGCCCCTGCACCCTCATGGGAGACCAGGAAGAAGCACCTGGCTCCTGGCTTCGGATCAGTGCAGCACCAGCCGTAGCGGCCATTTGGGGTGTGAACCAACGGAAAAGGAAGACCTTTCTCTCTGTCTTTCTCTCTCACTGTCTATAACTATACCTGTTTAAAAAAAAAAAAAAAGCATGATGTTTACACTAACATTATTAAATATTTAGAGATTTTACAACTAAAGGAAGAACCAAAGCAACCCAAATAAGTACCCAGCAAATAAATGACATCATGCACAATTTTTCATTTTTCCTACTGAAAATAAGCTACATCTGTATAATATTGCCATTCAATCCATTCAACACAGTGTTTTCCCCATGGATGTCATTTAGTCAGAACTGAGTTTCCTCTTTCTAGTCCACCACTTTGACACGTAAATTTCTTTTCTCCCTGCCACTAAGCCATTATATTCCTTGTGTTGATATTTTTATTAGAATAAAGCAACTAAGATGTCTATACTTAATAAGTGGACATGGATATTACTACTTTAGTCATAACTTATAATTTTCCTTTCTTTATTTAAAATCTACTTTCTGATGATGGGTACAGAAATCATCTTAAAAGCTTAAGTCTATAAATCACCTGGAAGGCCGGCAAAATCTTCGTCTGTAGTCATTTTTGAGATGATCCTGAAAGAAAAGTTCATCATCAATTTGATCTTTTTGTTTAAAATATAATGAGGTATCACTTATCTTCAAAGTAATTCCACCCCAATAAGGGTATGCCAGAAAATTTCAGTTCTTCATTTATTCACGAAGCATTTGTTAACTGCCTGGCATAAACACTACAAAAGGAAATTCATTTGGATCAAGTAAGTAAAAGAGAACCATACTTTCTATCTACTGTTTTTAAAAACTTCATGTATATGAGGGTACTTCAAAAGAGTTCATGGAAAATAAAATTAAAGATAAGTTAACTGACTTTGGTACAAAATACTTTTAAGTTCATACAGTTTTTCATAATATGTATATCCCACACACTTTGTGAAATACCCTTGTACTACTTCCAGTTCCACCCAAAGTCCATTCCATTTTATTCCTCCTCTTCTTCCACCTGCTCCCATACTTTTTCCACCATCAAAAACCTAACTTTCAGGTCATCCAAAATCCAGGCTGGCTAACTAATATCTCCTGATATCCCTTCCCTGAAGGAAGTGCCCACTAAATATAAAATGCAGAACTAAAACAGCACCAAACAACAGTGAAAAAAGAAGGAAAGAGAGGACTACATGGGGAGAAATTTAACAAACTTCTGGAAGACCGAAAAGAGATAAAGCATGATAACTGATAAAACAGAATAACATTAGTAGCAGCCCAAAGTAAGCTCAGGCAATATTGCACTAAATGATGATGGAAGCTGATCTACCCAGGAGAAAGCCATAACCATGTAGTACCGGGAAACCTGAGATCTGAGGGATGCAAGGAGTGACAAAAAGGAGTAACAGACAACTGGAAAAAAATCTCTACCCAGAACAGTAGGCCATTCTTCCCCTAGCCTCAAAAACAGAGCTCCCCAGAAGCACTCTAGCGCTACTGACCAGAATCTCCCTCCCTCTCTGACACTCTGCCTTACAAATAAATTTTTTTTTAAAAAAGTGGGTTTTATTCATCTAAGCTCTTAGATCTAGCTTTTTTTTTTTCCTTTTTTTGTTGTTGTTGTTGTTGACAGGCAGAGTGGACAGTGAGAGAGACAGAGAGAAAGGTCTTCCTTTTTGCCATTGGTTCACCCTCCAGTGGCCACCGCGACCAGCGCACCGCGCTGATCCAATGGCAGGAGGCAGGTGCTTCTCCTGGTCTCCCATGGGGTGCAGGGCCCAAGCACTTGGGCCATCCTCCACTGCACTCCCTGGCCACAGCAGAGAGCTGGCCTGGAAGAGGGGCAACCGGGACAGAATCCGGCGTCCCGACCGGGACTAGAACCCGGTGTGCCGGCGCCGCAGGCGGAGGATTAGCCTAGTGAGCCACGGCGCCGCCGGCCCTTACAAATAAATTTTAAAAGCTAGAGAAGGTGGGGTCGGCCTGTGCCGCAACAGGTTAAAGCCCCGGCTTGCAGCACCAGCATCCCATATGGGCGCTGGTCCATGTCCCCGCTACTCCACTTCCGATCCAGCACCCTGCTAATGTGCCTGAGGAAGCAGTGGAAGACGGTCAAGTCCTTGGGCCCCTGCACCCATGTGGGAGACCCAGAGGAAACTCCTGCTTGGTTCCAGATCTGTCAGCTCAAAGCTCTAGCAGTTGCAGCCACTTGGGGAGTGAACTAGTGGGTGGAAGACCTCTCTTTCTCTCTCTCTCTGTAACTCTTTCAAATAAATAAAATACATTTAAAAAGAAAAGTTGGAACAGTAAAATTTTCATTGAAAATAAACTTAGCAAGCTCACAAATAGCAATTTCAATTTATCTTTCAGTGGACTTAAACTTGAATTTCTTTTCACTGTCAGATTATGATTCTTTTTTTTAATAACTTTTTTTTTTTTTGACAGGCAGAATGGAGAGTGAGAGAGAGACAGAGAGAAAGGTCTTCCTTTTGCCGTTGGTTCACCCTCCAATGGCCGCCACGGCCGGCGCCGCACCGATCCGAAGCCAGGAGCCAGGTGCTTCTCCTGGTCTCCCATGGGGTGCAGGGCCCAAGGACTTGGGCCATCCTCCACTGCACTCCCGGGCCACAGCAGAGAGCTGGCCTGGAAGAGGAGCAACCGGGACAGAATCCGGTGCCCCGGTGCCGGCGCCGCAAGGCAGAGGCTTAGCCTACTGAGCCACGGCACCGGCCAGATTATGTTTCTCAAAGCAAATATGATACAACAAATGGGGTTTCCCAAGCTCCATCCCCCCGGTCCCCGCTCCCCAGCACACTGACCTCTGGGGATGGAGGATTCTGCGTCCCGGGGACCTAAACTCGCACTACAGAAGCTTAGCAGCACCCCTGCCTCCACCCACTCTGGGCGCTGCAGCGCTCCCTCAATCGCCCTACCCCTCCCCGCCTGGGGACACCCTAAACTTCCTCTAGACGTCGACAAATACCGCCTAGCGGACAGCGCTGCCCTCCTCTGGGAACCACTACGGTGCAGGAAGGGCTGCAGACCCCCTGCCAACTCCCCTCACCTCTTGTCCTTAAACAGGGTATGGCACAAAGTCAGACCTTAGAACAGTGCTACACTTAGGACAGGACCTCCTCTCCCCCGGGAGAACAGCGTCACTGTTTCTTTTTCCCTGACCCTGCAGAACGTAAACAACGCATGCGCTCCTTGGAAACCTGCACACTAACCTACCCTTTCATGCACACTTAAGTTTACCCCCTGAGACATCACTAAAGGAGGGGATAGATTAGAAGACACCAGTGTAGGAAGAGACGATACGGGTTTTACATGTACAGGAACCATAAGCAACCTGTGAAAAAGACAAAGCAAGGAGTCCAGACACACAGAAGTAAGATGTGCTTCCACCCCCGCCGGTCCTAAGAGCTGCCTTCGGGGACACTTCATCAACAACCCATGTCCCACGAAAATCGGCCTCCAAAACCGCCCGCGAGGCGCAACGTTTTGCTTAAGTAAACGGGAAAGTCTGATTATCTCGAGACAAACTTCATCCTCCAGACCAGCCGGTCTGCAACGCAGGCGGACCTTCAGGCTGCTTCAGGGCCTGCACTCCGCGCACGAACGGAATCGGGGGAGGGAACGGAGCGAAGCTGCAAAGTGGAAACTGGATTTCCTGACGAGAACCACAGGCGCAGCCCCAGCTCCCCTCACCAGACCTTCAGCAAACAACGCAGTCGGTCAACTCCGGCCATCGGCAGCCGATCGCAGCGGACTGCAGACGCCCGCGCCGCTGGCCCGGCCCTGCGACCACCCCCCGCGCCCGTCCGACGGCTCCCCGGGCCCCAGCCGCTTTCCCGCAGCGGGCAGGGGCAGGGCCCACACTCACCAGCCCCGACGCCGCCATGTTCCGGCCCCGCTCCGCCCGCGCACGGGCTCCGAGGCAGACGCCCGCACGGGCCGCGGCTCGGGCAGTGTGAGCGCGGACCGACCCGGCCGCCCGCCGGCGACACTACCGCCCACGACAGCCCCAGAGACAGCTGGCAGCGGGCGCTCGCTGCTGCAAGCCCATCAAGGCGCGCTTCCAGAAGCCCCCGCGCGCTCCGGGGTTTGAAACGGACGGCACATGCGCAAAGCGTACGGCGCCGCCCAATAGTAAGAAAGCCGTTAGGGGCCCGCCCCTCCTTCCCTCCGCCGCGTCTCTGCGTTCCTCGCTCTCAGGCCTACGAGTGGCGCGGGCGGGCTGTTTTTGGGGGACGGCGGGGCCTCCGTGACTGTGCCACCCAGCGCCGCGTTGTGGCGCTGTTCCGGGCGTTTTCTTAACGATGTAATAGGAGTCTAAACTGCTCTGAAGACTTCCTCCTACCTAACTAGTGTGTGAAGTCTGGGACACTGTGTTCCATTGTTATGATTTAATAACTACAAGAAAATGGTACTCCAAAGAGTTGGCCTGCTGAATAAATTCATGAATCAGGAGTTAATGGTCTTTTAAAACTTGTACTGCTTTAACAAATGCTGTCACCTGTTGGAAGTTATTTACATATGTATTAGAGAAGAAAGAGGGGTTATGAACTCTGAAGTCCAAGTTCAAATGTCTGGCTTCTACTCTACTAATTGTCCGTTCCTCAATTCTCCTGGCTGTAAAATGGGAATAATATTGAGATTTTGGAATCAAATTCTGGCAATTCCTATGAATACTGGAAAAGAGGGGTTGCTGGGTTCCCAATCCAGCTTCCTGCTAATGCACCTGGGCGGGGGAGGGTGGCCCGCGGGCTTGGGCCCCACACCCAAATGGGAGACCTGGCTGGAATTCCTGGCTCCTGGCTTCAACCTGGCACAGCCCTGGCTGTTGTGGTCGTTTGGGGAGTGAACCAGCAGATGGGAGATATATTGCTCGCTCGCTCTCTCGCTCTCTCTCCCTACCCCCACCACTCTGTTTTCTGTTTTCTAAGTAAATAAATAAATTTCAGTAATAAAGCTATTATATCATTATGGAGGTGTTTTTTTTACTGTATGTGGCAATTTTACCAATTGGTATATATTATGTGTGTAATTGAGTGTTGTCACATTTGGAATAGTAAAGCTAACATTCATGGAAATATAGTACCTGTCGAGCTCTGTAGATGTTTCACATGCATTTCAAGCATATAGAACACCCCTGTGAGAGAGCCATGTTTCGATTTTATAGACAAGGGACTTAGGTGAGGTGCCCAAGATGATGCCACCACTATGCAGAGCTGGCTTTTAACTTGAAAACTCTGACTCTAGAACTCTTTTAAACTCTTTGTTTATTTGAAGGGGACAGGAGTGCACAGGGAGATCCAGGCTGGGCTGGGGCTGAGCTGGGGCCAAAACCCAGAGCAGGGAAGTCTGGCTAGGTCTCCCACTGGGAGTGGCTGAAACACTTGAGCTGTCACCGCAGCCTCCCAGAGTCTGGGTATGGAATCCCGGTTCTCCAGTATTGGACCTGGGACTCTTAACTGGCTTTCCAGCCACAAGGCTAAATGCCCACCCCCGGGACTGGGCTCTTAATCGCTACACTCTTTGCCTCTCAGTGAGAAATTTTAGCAAGCACAATCACAGATGTTAGTCCCACATGTAAAATTATATCCCACTTCCACCAGAAACAGGAACTTGCACAATTGTTTTGAGAAAGGTGAAATGCAACGGTTTTGCTGTTGTAGAATGCAGGACGCAAATGATGGTGCAGATGAAGCACTCGAGAGAGAAAATGGAGTGGCGTACTTGTGAAAACAGTCAGAGGAACTCCACATTTTCCAAAGAAATTTTTCAGCTCCATCTGTTCTAGTACAGTTGGCCAAAACCCCATCATGGTTTTAGTATGCTAAAAATAGAATTGCACATAATTTAGCACAACTACCAGACATAGGTAAGGAGTGTGTGTGTGTGTGTGTGTATGTATCAGTCAGTGATAGTATAGGTAACTAGATACATACAGAGAAAACAAAATATTCAGAAATTAAGTTTGGAAGGGAAGTAAAAATTGTAGCTACTTAGGACTTTAGGTCATTTAAAATTTGAAAATATTAAAACTAGTTCAAACAATATTTTATGTTAACTCCTTGACCTTCATCAAAGTATTTGGTTAACCAAGTCTCTTCAGTTGCAAGCTTCCATACAGAAATAGAAATCACAGCACAGAAACATTCACAAGTGAACTTAAAGTGAACTTAACCACTTAAAGATTAGTCCACATTCCATCCCACACCACAACATAATACAAGCATCTGTCCTGGTGAGTTGGATAAACAAGTTTTAGTACATTGGTGCAGGGTAGTACTCTTAGCAATAAAAACACTATGGATGAAGGGGCCAGTACTGTGGCATAGCGGGGTGAAGTCGCAGCCTGCAGTGTGCGCATCCCATATGGCACCGGTTCAAGTCCTGGCTGCTCCACTTCTGATCCAGCTCTCTGCTGCCTAGGAAAGTGGTGGAAGATGGCCCAAGATCTTGGCCCCTGTACCCACATGGGAGACGTGGACAAGCTCCTAGCTCCTGGCTTTGGATTGGCACAGTTCCGGCTGTTGCGCCCAATTGAGGAGTGAACCAACGGGTAGAAGACCTCTCTCTACCTCTCCTTCTCTCTCTGTGTAACTCTGACTTTCAACTAAATAAATAAATCTTTAAAAAACAACACTATAGATGAATCTCATTATCCTAAACAAAGCAAGAAGACATCAGTGACTGCACAAAAAGAAATCAGATCAATGGATGCCAAAGGATGGGGTTGAAGAGAAGAGACTATAAAGGGACATGAGGGAATGTTTTGCAGTGGTGGAAATATTCTATGGATGCTTATTATGGCGGTTGCATAGCTAGAAAAATACTTGTCAAAACTCTTAGACCCAGGGTGTCGCTCCCCCTCTTCGTGGAGGAACGACAGAGGACCCTGCGCAGTTCTTTCGTCTGCTCGGCCCTCCCCGGGTTTGCTGCTGGTTCTTCCCGGGTTGGCTACCGACCCTTCCACCTCCATGGAAGGGCGGTTCCCCCTGCCACTTTCCCCACTTCCGTGGGGGAGCAGCACACCACCAACCGGCTCTCTCGGGGGCTGCACAGGTGTTCCTTCAGATAGATGTTCCTGGTGCATGTTGTCTCTCTCCTCCTTTATAATCCTCTTCCACCAATCCCAACTCTGCTACCCACATGCCGAGTACGTTGCTCTCCTCCAATCAGGAGCAGGTCCTACAGTTTATTGGTTGAACTGGAGGCAGCTGTGTAGAAGCTGTTTCCTCCTCTCCCAGCGCCATATTGTGGGAGAGCAGATGCATAGAATAAGTCTTAATTCCAGTAACTTAGTCTAGTCTGATTTGCTCCCAGTTGCTCCCCACAGATCCCCCTTTCTTTTTATTTTTGGCGTTGATACACGCCTGTCTTCAGTGCCCCGCGGCACACACTCTGCTCTAGAGTTGCCCACAGGTGCTTACAAGCCCTACCAATCAGGCAAACCAAATCCGCGTCCTCTCTTCGCCATGTTGTGAGGAGGTTTTTAGGCGCTGATGCGTGCCTGTGTTCGGTGCCCTGCAGCGCATGCTCTGCTCTGCTAGAACTGCCTGCAGGTGCTTACAAGCCCTGCCAATCAGGCAAACCAAATCCGAGCCTTCTCATTGCCGTATTGTGGGGAGACTTATTGGTGTTGATAACGTGCCTGTCTTCGGTGACCTGCAGCCGCCCACAGGTGCTTATCGTCTTACTAATCAGACAGACCGAATCCAAGCTCTCTCATTGCCGTGTTGTGGGGAGGCCTTATTTTTCCCTATTTCTCTACCTCCGGGCATTCCTATTTCTCCTATTTTACTTCTATCTGCCAGCATTCCTATTTCTCTCATTTTACTTCTAAACTTCCCGCGGCTTCCCGGCGCCCGCCCTGAGGCTGCTTCTTGGTGCCTCCCCCACGGCGGCTTCCCGGCTCTGCGCCACTTCAGCCCGCGCTTCTCTCATCTGCGCGGCTTCCCGGCGCCCGCCCCACTTGTGCCCCGCGTGCTCTCTGCGCGCGGTGGCTTCCGCGAATCACACAGCCTAGCTCACGTTTCCGCCACCGGTATTCAGTCTAAGTTCCCCGGGCTAACCTGGCGAATCCAACCTAGCTCACGTCTGCGCCTTTCAGTTTGGCTTCCCGTCTTTTGCTCCCCGGGCTAATCTGACGGATTCCAACCTGGCTTACGCGTCCGCCTCTAGTTTTAGCTTTTCGCCTTTTGCTCCCCGGGCTGACTTGAAGAATCCCAAGCTGGCTTACGTCTCCGCCTCAGCCTGCCCCCGCAGCTTCATTTTCCCTAACATTTTTCTCTACCCAGTATGTTTCCCTAAGTTTTCTTCCAACAATATTCCCCTCTCATTTCTCCTGGCTTCTCCCCACAGTCCATATCTGAGTCTAAGTTTCTTCTAGGTTTCACTTTCACTTTCAACCTGCAGTCCGTATCTGAGTCTAAGTTTCTTCTTGCTTTCACTTTAAATCCTAGCTTTCAATCCTAACTTCTTTCCCACAGTCCGTATCCGAGTCTATGCCTAGGCTTTCAATAGCTTCTTCCGGCACCTTTTCTGTCCGGCTTTTCCCTAGGCTCTTCTAGTCTCTCTCTCCAGTATTTTCCCACTTCTTCCCGTTTCTTCCCTCCTAGGTTTCCTATCCTCTTCGTGGAGGAACGACACTAAACCCTGCCTAGGCTTCATATCCGAGTCACGGCACCATTATGTCGCTCCCCGTCTTCATGGAGGAACGACACAGGACCCTGCGCTGTTCTTTTGTCTGCTCGGCCCTCCCCGGGTTTGCTGCTGGTTCTTCCCGGGTTGGCTACCGACCCTTCCACCTCCGTGGAAGGGCAGTTCCCCCTGCCACTTTCCCCACTTCCCCGGGGGAGCGGCAAACCGCCGGCCGGCTCTCTCGGGGGCTGCACAGGTGTTCCTTCAGATAGATGTTCCTGGTGCATGTTGTCTCTCTCCTCCTTTATAGTCCTCTTCCACCAATCCCAACTCTGCTACCCACATGCCGAGTACGTTGCTCTCCTCCAATCAGGAGCAGGTCCTGCTGCTTATTGGTTGAACTGGAGGCAGCTGTGTAGAAGCTGTTTCCTCCTCTCCCAGCGCCATATTATGGGAGAGCAGATGCATAGAATAAGTCTTAATTCCAGTAACAGTCTAGT